ATAAAATGGGCTTAAACCAGCTTTGGTTCCTTTAATACCAGTTAAATGTCCCAGTCTCTATAATAGGATGTGATGGACAATGGTGTCAAATGTAGCACCGAGAGGTGTTTTAGGACAGAGAGAAGCCTTTAGTCCATAGCAATTAGGAGTAATTAGGAGTGGATTTGTAACTTTTGACATTCTTGTGCTTGAACTAAAATCTGCTCCATCTAAAGTGGGATTTAAATAGTCTCTCTGTGTCATATAAGGTCTTTTCAGGGAGTTTGTAAATCATCTTTGAAGCCATTTGTTTAGCATCACCTTGGCAGCCGTTGTTTGAATGAGGACATGGTGCTTCAAATCTCATCATTCCATCAGGTTTGACAGGTTTAGAGAAAACTAGATTAAAACATTGCCTTGTGCAAAGTGACTTTAACAGAATTGCTAATGCAGGCATAAATGTAGTGTCTGTGCAGGCCAACAGGGAGCATTTTGTTTCACTTTTTAGTTTGCAGCCCCACTATAGTCACAAAAGAAAGGAAAGTTTAAAATAAGAAATGCTGCTTTGTCACAATGGAATCAAACAGCATTTTCTAGGATGGTCAGACTTAAAATATAGCTCGTTCGGGGTTTTGCGTTGGGACCTTTTTAAATAAATGAGGTTCATATGATGCTCTCAAGCACCTTATTCATACTTAAAATGTCTTCTTTATTATTTCTACCCTCTTAACTGTTTTTCTGGATCCATCTCTTTTTAGATAAATCCAGAATATCAAATCCTTTGTAAGTTCACCTCTTGTCAGATGTACCATGTTGCCATCCTCCTTTGTGTGTCCTCTCAAATAGGCCCCAGACTTGCCTGCTGACGTGCCATCGCTCTCCTTGCCAGGTAACCCCTTGCCAGGTATTACCTCAGATAACCATGATAGCAACAGTAGTCTCTGCACGGCTTCACTGATTGGTACTTTTAAGAGCAGGGATGGACCTCCTATTTTGGCTCATAACGCAGCAGATTTCTGGGGATAAAAAGTAAGTGTTTTGTTTGTTCTGAGGCATCTACATGTAAAGTGAATCTGTAAGAAGCAATGGGGGTCAATCTAGATTTGTAATTAACGTAACAAGTTAATTGTGCAGGTGATCCAGAGGTAATACTTCCACTTAGTCAGTCCATAGGCTCTAAATCGATCTAGTAATAAATGCCAATAAGTCTTGCTCTAAACATTAGTAACCGTGTTAGTTCACTTTGGGAATCACATAGTCAAAATCAAGTCACTATGCATGGAGGTGGTTTGTGATGAAACAAAAGCAAAACACATATGAACTCAGGTGGCTTCTTCTGAGGCACTCAGGTGTACTCCGTCTTCCAGGGTGAGTAAACTGTGAGAAGAAACCAATTGCAGGCTGATGACTAAATCCATTTATTTCCGAGCCAGGTGCCCCAGAATCACTACTAATGCCCGCATTACATTATGTCCGGGCGGACTTTGGTTGAACTCATAGGGATGGATTACCTAAGTGATGGTGAGTACTTTTTGACAAACCTTGATCTGTTAAATCTATTATTTTAAATATAAACTGTGAGATCAAATAAGTTCAGTTGACTACACTCCCGCCTCTAATGGTGTAAATTACAAATGACTTCATTTATTCAGAGTAAGCTGCTCTACTGGACTTCCTCAAACTGTACGGCCCTTCAAAGAGAAAGGCCTCAGTGATAGGATTTTAATGTGCTTTCTGTGTCGAGGAGAAAATTTTGCATTACTCTCAAACAATTCAAGAGAATAATTGCGACAATCAACGCCGCATAGATGGCAGTCGAGATTGTTTGTTCTCATTTAGGAACTGGATTTAGAGGTTTGTTCAGGTTAAGATTCTTAGCCGCTTTAAACCCTGCGGTTGTTTTCCTTAAAAAGTCACCTCACACACGCGGAGCAGCTTCCAGGCAGATTGACATGTGCAGTTAATTCATCCAACCCACGATAGGTCTCTATTTCTGTTCTTCCTTTTCAAAAAAGCCAAGAATCTAGGACATTTCCAGCAGAATAAAAAAGCCCAATACTGAGGCCTTTTTCTATAAGTTTTTATGCAAGCCATATGGTCAAGGCGTCAAAGCTGAGAAGATTTCAGTGGCAGTATGTGAAACAATAACACAGCTGACAGGGTGACCGGCTCAGAAGTTCATGTTGTGTGAGGAAAATACTCATCTTTGCAAAGCAGTTTGTCCTCATATGAAACCTTGGAAACGACTGTTCACTCCTTAACTAATTCGTCCTTGTGAGCCATCATTCCTTTCAGAAGCCCATCTGACCTCCTGTTGCTCATAAGGCTCTTACTCTGATCAAACCTCTGAAGCCTGGATTATAACGCCATAGAGGGTCATCACTGTAAACCGAGGTGAAAAGTGTTAACCCAGCTGACACCTAACCTAATGCTCACTGCATTTTCTAAAAAGGTTTATTAGTAATCCTATTGGCCTAATTATATAGTGTGAAGACCTTAACCCTGTATATGAGTCAAGTGTTTTACATTGCAAAGAAAAAGTGTGTATAAAGATAAAGTTGTGAAAAATGCTTAAATTTGAAAAAATGATCTGAACTGCGCTTTACATTGAGAGTTTCTAAGTAAAATTTAAGCTTTTTGTCTGCAATGTTGTCAGTCTGACAGTATACCTTATATTAAACTACTTAAGGACCACAAACTACTTTAGCCTGACAAATAATCAACAATTAAAAATTTGTAAGAGCATTTTATTGGCACTATTCAGGATATGACAGCTGACACCAATTTGTCATTTCGGATTGTACCAGCTGGGAAATCTGTGTAACGTTTGAAGTTACTTAAGGTTCAAAGTGAGGCTGTGATATTTTTTGTGGTGAAGTGGGTTCTGTTCTGTCCAGATAATTGAAGACTAAATGATGTTTGTAGCTATGCCTTTTTTTGTACAAAGGATACAATCATATGATGAACTAGCATTTTTAACATCAATAAAGTTAAAAAAAAAGTAGTAATTAAAAAAAAGTTAAAGTAGGAACATTTGTAAAACATTCATCAGTAAAAGAAAATGTTATTTTAAACACTATTACTATATTTTTCTCTAATTTCATACTGTTTGAAAAGCTTCTTCAAATTTTATTCCCTGCAGATAAGATGTTAAAAAAAACCAACAGCCCCTATTTTGGGTATGCAACACAAAAAGGGAGCATCATAAACCAATTTCTATTATTTTGACTTAAATAACACTGAAATCAAGGCAGATGACCATAAAATTACAACATCAGATTACCTATTAAGACTCAGTTTTTGCACATTACAGAGAGGGACATCACCCATCCTTTCTAATACAGAGAAATAAAAATAAATAAAAACTACAGATCATTACTGTTAAACGTTTTAGAAAACAAACAGTTCCGTCTCATTGTTAGATGTTAGTAGATGATACCATTTGTGAATAAAAAAATGTTGCAAAATATGAATGAGATATTTGAAAATTGGGAAAAAATACAGCAGTTGCTAGTGATTCCTTTTACTCATACCACCTCTTTCAACAGTTCATACAAAGATAAAACTGATTTTCATTTTAAACATCTATTAAAAAGACTACTGTGTCACATAAACAACAAATCTCTGTATTTCTCATCTGCATCACAGTGGAGTCAGGCCGACATTGCTGTCATCTTCTTTACCCATTTATTCAGTGTAATAAAAGTGTGTTAGTTTGCAGTAATTTACCTTAAATGCTGTTGTAAATCACCAGGAGAAACCATAACATGGAGAGGATAGGAAAGGGTACTTAACATAAATTAAAATATTCTGGTGCCCGAGAAGTTTGTTTCAGAGGTGATATTAGAAGTCTGTTGTTATGGGGATGTTTCTGACATAGACGGCAAAAGACTTTTTGGTGTGGAAGTATCTTTCTCCAAAATATGAATTCAAAAAATAATGACCATGGTTGCTAAAGCAAAGTCAAATTTCTTTTCTAGATTTTGTAAAATAGTGAAAAATGCCCACACACCCGTCATGTAATAAAAATATCACCACAAAGGAACTCATTTAATGAGACATAAAATATCTGATCTCCCTTTCTGAAGCTGTATGTCATCATTATGTTCATACTAAATCTGTGTATGTCTACAAACACACAGATGCTCAAGGATTCAAAAGTAAGAGGGATGAACTGAAAGGAAACATTTGACTCCTCTCATCTCTAATCCCCTGCTGGCGGTGGAGGCAGCACTCAAGTCAGTGAATTTGTATTTCCACAATGTGTCGTCTTTTCAGTTTGGATTAAGGTGAGAGTAGCGGTAGGAGGACATGCTGGGGCCTGGGAGCCGTCAAACATCTCCTGTGTCATCGCCTAGATGTCTGCTGTTTTTAACACCAGCACTTTCACACACCCAACACAACTCTCTGTATGGGTAAATAGACTGTAGCTGTAAGCCGTCACAGAACACACTAAAAACCCACAATAACTTATTCCAACATTTAGAGATTATAAATTGATGACAACGACGCACTTTTCATGGGAGAGGACAAGAAATAGGTGGCAGGGTGCATTCTAACACTGGTGTAGGACAGGAGAGAAATGAGGTATAGCTTTCAAGCTTTCTTTATGTTAGCTGACTACACTATACTGTCGGCAAAAAACACGTTTTCCTTGCGGGTCATGATTTACCACTAAACCACTGGGGAAGGTTTTCCTGAACACAGGCTCCTACAAACCTAAACAGGACCACCAGTCTAACTATAGACCTCATTGTGTCTAGTGATGGGAAGAACAGTTCTTTTGATTGTACTGAATCTTTAGAATTCGTTCATTAAAACGATTCGTTCAAAAGATTTGTTCACTGAATTAGTCAGTGCCAAGGAGCCCTGTCCTGCCAGGTGCAGTACACGAGTGAATGAGCCCCTCCCCTACCCCGCTGCTGAACTCACAGCATCGTTTACTGGATGACACATGTCGTTCATTCGCCAAGTTGCAAAGGAAGAATCACTCCCCTGCCCTGAAAAACTCAACACTCTGTTTGCCACTGACATTCGCATCGCATTGCAACGCGAGTGAAACAACATAGAGTGACTGATACATGTCTTTCATTCACTGTGAGCAAATCACGAGACTCCGCCCATCCGCTTGCTTGCTTGCAGGCTGTGCGTTGATTACCTCGTCAAAACGTCAAAGTTGGCATTCTAGTTTAACTGGTTTAGGTTGCCTCCTTTTCCTGCGCCCTCTCTGACCCATCTTCACCCATGCTTGTACTTTTGTACTGTGTCAAAGCTGTTGTCACTGATGCCTGCTCAGTTCCAAAACCCGAGTGGTCTTTGCTGCTGCTCTTCCTGACTTGACTTTTCACAAATACACGTAAAAGAGAGGGAGGATGTGCTCTCCCCGCCTCAGGCTCTGGCATCCCATTTGTGCATTTGGAAGGCAGGCAGCGAGCCATACCGCCAAATGTAATTTACTGCATGCAAATAAATAATCCTCTTTGACAGTAGTCCTGAATAAATGTAAATATACAGACAGGCCAAGACAGGATATTGGCTTACATGTTTTGGATTATGTCACCCCAGCCCAAGATGCCCAGGAGGGTCAGTTACCCTATGTGACACCAGGTCAATGACTCATTAGATTAAAACATCCAATGGCGTGCTTAAAACGAACCGAGACTTCTACTGCTGTACTTATTTTTGTAATATCTATTGTCTTGCTTTTGAAAGGGACCTTGATGAAATCCATGTGTCATTTTCCTTGTAAACAATTTTCAAACTTCGATCAAACTGATAAGAGATTGAAAAACATACCAGCCTGCACAGGGCAGTCAAGGCAACTGCAATAATGTGGTAATTGACAAACGTGACACAAGTTTAATCATTTCGGCCAAAACCTTGAACCCTTAATGAAATTCTTTGGTAGAGTAAGTCCAGAGCCAGACTTGGATCGTGACTTTGGAGCTTGATGTTAATCAACTAAGGGTTCCCGAGAAGGCTTTAGGTCAGGATTTAAGTCAAATCCCATGCTGGGACCCCAGGAAATATAGGTGTCAGTAACTGGAAAACTGAAGTGATAGGTGACAGTGACCTGGGAATGGCATTAGCGTTGATCTCAACGAACCAAAAAGGCGGAGGAGGCACAACATGTTTCTGATTTTGTGGCTCATTTTGAATCTAAATATTTCATTATAAATAATAAGAAAGCATTTGCTTGTTTTTGAGTTGTTTTGCAGTATGGGGAAGAGAAATTGTCTAAAAGATATAAATGCATCAATACAACACTTCCACCCTAACTTAACCCTGTTGCCCTTACCCAAGACACTCGGCAAAGAAATAATCAGTCCTCTTCTTTTCAGACGAAGACCTCAAATGACTTTTGGGCAACAACTCAGGTCTCAGGTCCTCCCAGTTTACTGAATTGAGAGTCACTACACAGATATACAGTACAGGCCAAAAGTTTGGACACACCTTCTCATTCAATGTCTTTTCTTTTTTTTTATATGACTATTTACATTGTAGATTATTACTGAAGGCATTAAAACTATGAATGAACACATGTAGAATTTTGGACTTATAAAAAAGTGTGAAATAACCGAAAACATGTTTTATATTCTAGTTTCTTTAAAATAGCCACTCTTTCCTCTTGATGACAGAATTACCTTGTCAGGGTTACTTCAGGCACTCCTGTGAAGTAAAAACCATTTCAGGTGACTACCTCATGAAGCTCATTGAGAGAACAGCTAAAGTTTGCAGCGCTATCAAAAAAGCAAAGGGTGGCTACTTTGAGAAATCTAAAATATAAAACATGTTTTCAGTTATTTCACACTTTTTTCTTAAGCACATGATTCCACATGTGTTCATTCATAGTTTTGAGAATCTACAATTTAAATAGTAATGAAAACAAAGAAAATGCATTGAGTGAAAAGGTGTGTCCAAACTTTTGGCCTGTACTATAGATCATTGTAACGCTCCTGTGCTCTAACTTCATGCTAAATCAAGGATTTTCCTTTACTCAACTCTCTCCGACCCAAAATGAAACCACAAGGCTCTTACTGCTCTCATTGAGGTAGATCAGAAGAAGCAGCACCAGTTCTTTGACATCTTTGGGGCAGTTGTTCAGCTCTCCCCTTGCCATTTTCAGCTTTGTTGGTGACTGTAGGAACTTTTTGTTCCTACAAAAAGTAGGAACATCACACAAACAGTATTGATGTAATTCAGAAGCTGTTTTCCCTTCAGATCAACATTTCTTGAGAAACTTCCTATGAGACTGATTCTGGTAAGTTAATGAAAGTAGACTGTCGTCCTAAGTTCATGGAACCAAAATGGCCACTCCACCTGGAGGCATTTCAGATTTTTTCCCTGGTTGACTTGTTTACACTGTGTGTAGAAAGTTAACCTCATTAGACAGACATTTCACTTCCTGCCGATTTACATGACATTGATGTGACATCCTCTTCAGCTGCTCCTTCTCCTCCTGAATCTTGAAGGTCTCTCCAAGGGGCACCCATATGTGTCCTGGATCTCTGCTCTGTGTTCTGGAGGAAGCTCTTCAATATCAGAGTCTTCAGAGTGACACTTTCGTAGTCTTATCATTGGAGTTGTAGAGCGACTGGCATTCTCAATCCTGTTTTGCATTTGCTTGGCTATAGGGAATGATACACTTGTTCAATGACATCCCCATCTTGCAGAGATTTGGGATATTTTGCCACTATCTTCTGAGCAACAAAATACGAATGTTTCTGCATTATCTCATGGACCACAAGTCAGCCTGAACAGCCGTCCTTGCGCCCTGCACCTCACTTACTGCCAAACGTGTGTGCCACTGAAGTAGCAAAATGCAGTCAGACATGCCCTAATTTACTTTGCTCATGTGTCTATAATTTACAAGGCAGTTAATGACAAACGCATTTGATAAAATTTTTAATATGCATTATAAATCATAATAACCCAGTCATCAATCAGTGAAACTACTGGGAAGTCAACAGATACAGGTTAGACTAGTTTCATCAGCAAGGAGCCGCTTGGACTTACCGGCATCATCACCTATTGGTGGAAAGACATTAGCTGTTCCTCCTCCTTCTCCTCAGGTGATGAGGTTCAAAGACTCCAACATACCCTTCAGCTCTAACTGGTGTACCTTGGAAGCCATCCAGACTGGATAGTACCTCAACAGTTGTGTTGAACAGAGCTTGGCGGAAATGGCACAGTACATCTCTGGGGTTGAACTGCGGTTCGTGGAGGACCTCTTCACCTCCTCTTGGTGGGATTGAACCAAGTCCAATGGGATCATCCATCATTAGTCAGATGGTACGTCAGCATTCGTTCTCACACCACCAGACCCAGGAAGAGCTTCATCCTGAGGACCATGAGACAGTTGAACTTGTAGACACTCAAGCTCATTACCATTCAACTTCACTTGGACTTCACTAGCATTTATCTCAGTATCACTGTATAGTGCATAAATACTAAACCCCCTTCAGTTATATGTTTTCATTTAGCTGGTTAAGATTTAAAAGTTATATAAAAAAAAACAGTAAGGGATATTAAATGGTTAACAGACTCCCAAAAATGTGTTTGTCTTCCTTGTATTGCTACTTTTGTTGTAGTTATGTTTTGTTTTGGAATTTTATAGCCCAATCATTGTGCATATTACTTCAAAAAAACTTTGAGATAGAGACTTTGTTAGTTTCAATAAGTAGTAAAATATGTCTAGGGCTCATATGTTGGGCATTTCTGTTGATTTCTAGTGTTTTCAGCTTAAACTGTTTTTCTTATTTTGCTACAGTCTTTTAGTTTTTTAAATGGTGCAACCAATTGCTTTCCAGGATTAACTCACCTTAAACAAATCAACAGAGGCATCTAGCCAATCTCTAAGCAACTTCTGAACTACTAACATCGTTACTCTGCAGACAGATTGCGCTCACTCACACACATACACAGACATGTACCGAGATGCCGTTTGGTTTTGCCATCTGCAAACACTGGACAGAAATAAAAATAGAAAGTAGTGACCCCAGACAGCATCACTTCTAACTTTGGGTTACTCAACAAAAGCGGCAATAAAGTTAATGGCTCTGATGAAAGACGTGACTTTTCCGAGAACAGGGCTCAGAAGCTGTTTACACCTGGATTTATCTCATCTGGTTATCCAATCCCAATCAGACAGCCTTAAAATGGAAGTTGGCATTAGAATGTGTCTCTAATGACACTTCTGATCATATCACTGTCCTGTTCCATGTGAATAACTGTAAACCAGCATCATTTTGTACAAAAAAAAAAACCTGGATGAAAAATATAATTACTCAGGTGATTTGCAGTCGACACATACGTAGGAGTGGTAGCTGAATGAGCTGCACATCTGCCACAGATGCAGCAGTAGACTCAACAGTTGGTTTGGGCAACATGTCTTCCCTCAACATACCTTGCGAACAAGGTCATTTGGTCCTCCCAGGCATACAAATTAAGAAGCTGGTAGTGATTTGAAATCAGACTCTGGATGTTTTGATGGAGTGGCTCCTTCTTGGTCTGCTGAGCTAACATGAGCTGTACCTTGGCCACAGGCGTTTCCAGTGCTGGGCTCTCAGGCAACTAGCTTAGTAGAAGCATGTTGTTTGGTTAGGTACTTTGTGAGATTAGAATTACTGTTCTTGGCTATGGACAAAGTTTCCCTTGTTGTACATGCGCTACAACTCACCTCTATTTTCTTGTCTTGAACCTCAAGAAGAAGAGGGGGGGTCTGGTATTTCTAAGCTCATGTCTAAATGACCAATGGCCACTGTGTATGTCAACTGCGCGATACATTAATTTCCCCAGTATGGCGTTATGCTGTTGTAGGCGTTACCTTGCCATCTCGCTGTACAATCAGTCTTCTGAAGTTGTCAACTACTTGATGTAAGGTTACAAGTAACAAGCCCTTTCAAATTTCTGTAACTGTAACAGCATTATTGAATTTAAAAGTGAACTACATACATGTACCGAAAATAATATTGGAATGCAAGGTATAGGTACATTAAGAAAAAAAAGCATACTCATGTTCATCGTATTACGTCGACTGTGCTTTGAGATCTGAAGATTTGTAACCTTACAGTAATGTTGGCAGTAAAACTGCTTTTATTACTGTGATGACTTACTTTTGCATTAACCCTTGCTTCACGTGTGCCAAACTGTAGGGGATGATCCGTACGGATAACCAATTGACTTTAATCTGTTACAACACCAGTCAGGATATAGACGTCTTATGCCTCTGACATCTGTTTCTGTCTCCGTCTTTCTCTCTGTTTACCTGTCTGTGGGCCTGATCTACTGAAGGTTAGCGTGTATAAAAACACGTGCAAACTTGACAGTGCTCACAAAGCTGATCTACTAACTGGGTGCACCGAGGATTGCATCTGTCAAATGATCAAAATACCGCACAGAATCCATTTAGCGTGTTTGCCTTCATGAAGATGCCGGATGAATGCAGATTATCAGAATTTGCAAAGTAACGTTGGAAAGGCAGGTGCAAAGTGGTATAGTGTTACGCACAAATGGCTGCAGTCATTGTGGTGAGAAGGAGGCATGGGTGCAATGACAAAACTCATTGCAACACTAAATTTTCTTGCATCTGATTCATTCCAGTGCACCATCACAGTTAGTACCAGCCTCTCCCAGAGTAGTTTTTCTGGTGTGCTGTCCCAAGTGTTGAATGCCATATCACACAGGATGGGAAAGTAAATCCAGTTCCCACACACTTGGGACGCAGTAAATGACATCAAACATGGCTTTTATGCAGTTGCTGGCTTCCCCAAAATGATAGGTGCAACTCCATGGCTTCAAATTTCATTTTGCATGAATGGCCACTCTGCTCTCCCAAACTCTCCAAGGTGACAGCCAGTAGCGCAACTAAAATCCGCATTTAAAAAGGGCGGTCTGCACCGCTTTTGCACTCATTAATTGCGCATGCAACCATAGTAGATCAACCGCAACATGCCAACTAATAGCATGTGCAATTTTTTAGTTTGCACACCTGTTTTAGTGCTTGTTATTTGGAATCTTGGTAAATCAGCCCCTGTATATCTCTCTATTTGCTGTAGGGCTACATTCTTGATTTTACAGGGATACCTCCTCTTAAAAATGTGTGTTCATTTGGATATAAAGCTGGGAACTGGAATGCAGTAACTTGAGATGTATTTAAGATACATTATAGCGTGGATCAAACATAAAAAAAGCTTGAAATTTTCTGACATCATTAAGATGGGGTGGACTTCTGAATATAAATGGCCAATCTTTCCCTCCTACTTTCGCCAGGGTTTTCCAGCCAGCTCCTTAGTAAAATTATGGCTCTAAAGTTGGGATGTGTTTGAATGCAGCAGGGAAATCTCTGTTAAATTCATGGTTGGGTAATAAAGTCATTCAGGCTAGACAGAGTTTCACTGCTCTCTTAAAATTCACCTCAGTTTAAAGTATTTTGTTCCCCACTGGTGTTTGCCTTCTGAAAATGTCCTTTAACATGTTGTGATTATATTACCAAAATTAAAGACGCCACAACAAAAGGCTTCTCCTCAATTTGCTCGCTATTGGGCTACCCCTTTCGCTCTGAAGCAGTGAGAGTACCTGCAGAAATGTATTCCTGCTGAAAGGTGAATGTGTCACAGGTGAATTGGTGAAAATATCTAGGAAACAGAATGAATACACAGAGAGACTGAGAGAGAGAAAGTGAGAGACAGGTTTAAAAGACAGTTCAGTATGGATTCTGGGCAACAAACCAGCATCACAGATGTGTCAAATTGCATCTTTGTAAGGTCACTGCATGAAAAGGACAGGTGAGCGCTTCAAAGTTACACACAGTTGGTAGATACATGAAAGTGTGATCCTTGAAACAGGTGGTGTCTCTGTGAGTATATATGTCAATCCCATTCTTAGCCTCTCTCTCACACACGAGCACACTCAAGTATCGGCATAGGGAGCAGCAGATGCTGCTGCTGTGGAGCAATGGTCGAGTTTGGTAGTTAAGTGTTTTTACTCACCCTCAAGGATGGATGAATATACCTTTTAAGTCTTTTGCAGACTGTGTCATGCTCTGCTGCCCACAACGTATGATAGCAGCAGAGGTTTTAACAGATTTATTTCCAGCCCTACCATACTTTCATTCTTAAGATGATGCTGAGGCAAGGCTGTATTGGCAACATTGCTCAGTTTAACCAGGATAAGATGCTGGAAAAGATAATACAAGTTTTTAACAGTTGTTCCTCTGTGACATGTAGTGACTATTATAATGCCCTCTTGTCCTCTCAGGCAGGCTACCCTCCACCACTGACAGATGCTGTGGTGCATGAAGACAGGCTTCTTTGGTTGTGAAAGATCTTTCCTGGTTCAGACAAAATGCACAGCAGAGAAGTAAACCTTTAGAGCCTTAAAGAAGATTCAAGGGGTTCCTAAGGACTCAAAGATCAAGCTGCAAAAAAAAAGGTAAAACTGAGTTGAGATATGTAAAAAAAAAAAAAAAAAAAAAACAGCTCTAAAACCTTCTGCTGGCTGGCCCTATCTCTCTGATGGGATTTGGGACACTTTTGGATTCCAGGAAATGCACAGGAGCAGCAGGCTAAGAAAGTAAAGGAGTAAATAATTGAAAGGGAAATGTAACACGGGAGAGCAAGGGAGAGCTGGAGCTTCCCACAGGATAAAGGTCTAAACCTTTGGTACAAATCTCTAGTCAGACATGATGACCAGTTTTATTATTATCAAAATGATTAACACTAGCTTTTAGAAACAGAGGCCCACAGTACAGGAGCAAAATTCAAATTGAAACGTCTATATAGGAAGGAAATGCATATTCCTGTAAAGTTGTCTTTTTAATCATTGAGGCTTTTTGCCACAATGATTTTCATCCATCATGCCATTAACTTGAACATTTAACTTTTACCCCCAATTTTTTTTCCCAGCATTACTGTATGGATATTAAAACAGCTACAATCAACTTTTACACAAGATGGTAAAACACTAAAACTGTCTACCGGATTCATGTAGGAAAAAACACAGCTGGCACAGAGAGCATAAGCAGACAGAAGGCAATTCACAATCAGTGGTAATCAGTGCTGTCATTTTAGCAAATTAAAAACTCAACAAGCCTTTTCCACATTTTTGAAACTGTAAAACTGCTAGAAATCTTTAGACATGGGATGCCATCACCTAAACTTTGTAAAAATGGTGAATTTCAAATGGAATCTGTTGCATTGGCACTCCAACACATTAGAAATATCTCTATGCACTATTTCTTGCGAGATTAGCCTACTAAATATTGCGCTATGTATTCTGACCAAAAAAATTGGTTTTACAGTCCTAAACTTGTTTCTATTGTTATTGATTTTATTGCAATAAAACAGCTCTTGCCTTGAACTATGGCTAGCGACCAAAAAATTCAGATTGCGGGTGGCTGGGCTTGAGATGTGTGGTATAAATTCCCACTGAGCATTTTTTGGCCTAAAAGAGGTCTAATAGACATCTAAATGTAGCCCAGACGACTGGTCTAAAATCAGGCTACCACAGGTCTAAAAATGAACGTTTCTTAGATGTCTAAATTTTGACCAAGTTTAGACCAAGTCTAAATCTGGGCTATATCTATACTACACTGTATATTGCTCAACAGCTATCATAATTATTTTGGTTAAGTTTTTTTTTTTTTTTTAACTTGACATCTAATAGCTGTCTATTGCTCAGTGAGTTGATGGTGTAGAGGATTCATATTCTTTAATAAAAGTATTAATGAAAGTTTCCCATTTTTGAATTTCATCTGGTAAGTTTGAATTTAGAAAAATCACGGCATTGTTCTGAAGGCAAGTCCGTTGATATTGTGTCTGCTTTTCTTTTACAGTCTATGAAAACTATAAAATGTGTGGTGTGCAACGCCCTTTCTTTTGGGAGAGCAGGACTCGTCTCATTTTGGAGAGCTTGCTAACTAAACAGATCTATGTGTTGTGGTCAGTATGTAACTTATAGTTGACTTAGGCAGCTTTACAGAACACAAACAACACTTTAAATTAAGGATCCATGGTCTCTTATCCTGTTCTTAGATGTGCTTCCAATTTCTCAGGCTTACCTCTTAGAGACTTTTGAAGACGTCCTCAGTTGCGAAACATTTTCCTGAATTTATCCCAGGTGTGGACTGTGACTAGAGAGGTGAAATTTATGCACCATTGCTCAGATTGATTACCTCCTCCCTGTTCTGGCACTTCTCTCCAACAGTCAACTGGAGCTTCACCAGAGAAGAATGGTGGTATTTGGACCATCCTTCACAGTAGCGCTGAGTGAAGAAAAGCAGATATAACAATCACAGCTTCCCTCTTTGACCCTCAAAATCCTTCATCTTTTACGAATGGTTGTGTGAGACGGGCCACCTCATGCACACACAGTATCTGTGAATATTTTGAGAAAGAAAAAAGAATAATGTCCTGCACCTTCCTATCTTTCATTCCTCTCTTAACTCCTCTCATGGCTTTGATTACAACTTATTACCCTTTGGTATCTAGGGAGCGATTTATCAGTCGCGGGACCTGTGAGATCACTTCCTCTCTGGAGCTTTACTTGCCTTGTAACTATCAAGCAGCACCCCACCTCACCTCACATTCATCATTGTTCACCTCTTGGTCGAACAGAGAAAAAAGCAAGAGGCTGTTTCTTCAAGTTCGTTCAGTCCACTGGAAATGGACAGGGCTTAAAAAAAAATCCTTAACACTTGACTGTTAAATTATATTTTGCCAATATTTTAATGTTCTGGGAATCAAAGAAAAAAAAAGGTTGTCCCTGATTAGCATTACTATTGTTGTTGTTATTTTGCATGGAACAGAGAGAAATAGAAAGGGAGAAAGAGAAAGCAACATAAAAAAAGAGGCAGCGTCAGCTTCACTTCTAAAGATCAGAAAGTGAAAAAAAATGAATCGAAACAACAAATCTTCATATTCCTTACATTATTCTCATTTTCATTGTATTGGGCTGACCATCAAATGTATAAACTGGAATTGACTATGTTACTGACCATATTACTTAAATGTCAGTGGAGTGCTGTTGCTGTTTTTGTGTTAAACTTTTGTCCAGAAGTTATAACACTGTAATTTCTGTCCTTTTAGGGGTAAACCAAGTGAACCCTGTCGAACCTCCCAGAGACTTATTTAAGGGGCAGTGACAAAAAGATCTGAGTCAGCACTGTTAAGAGGAAATGAAATCTTGAACGCTTAAAAAGAAATTCTGCATTCTGGATATTTGTGAAACAATAAATTCAATTATTTAAAAAAATATCCAAACAAAACTACTAAAACATGTCTCTTATTTTCTCGCTTTTTTTCCCCCCTTCAAGAAAGCAGCATCGTATAGCATACAGGCTGCACCAGCAAGTAAAGTAGAGCAGGCAACTTGAGGATTTGAAGAGTTAACTAAATGTGAAGTGACAGGAGAGAGCTCTGGGCTCTTTGTGGGACGCCAGAAAGCATGGCGTTGAGCCCGCCTTAATTAACAGATCCACGCTTTTTCTGCCATAATCGAAACCCAGGACAGGAGAGAGCGAATTAACAGTAGGAGCCTTATAAATAAATAAAAAAACATGACGAGTTACCAGTAACTTCACCAGGCATCCTTTTGACCCTGAAGATAAACAGTATCGTTATTTTATTGTTGTTGTTATTGCTATTATTATCATTATTATTTTTGTTAGTATTGTTGTTGTTGTTGTTACTATCATCATTATTATTGTTGATGTTGTTATCACTATTATTACTATTATTATTATTATTATTATTATTATCATTGTTGTTGTTGTTATTATTATTACTATTGTTATTATTATTGTTGTTGTTGTTATCACTATTATTACTATTATTATTATTATTGTTGTTGTTAAAACTATTATTACTATTATTACTATTATTATTGTTGTTGTTGTTGTTGTTGTTGTTGTTATTATTATTACTATTATTATTACTATTATTATTAAGGCTAGTCCTGTTAAGTCATTGTTAGGCCACCCACAACGAAGGGCTAAATCCAAGACTAAGAAAACGAAAAAAAATTTTCTCATTATTATTGGAATTATTGTCATGCATAAACACGTACCTTTCAAAACTACAATTTTTTTTTTGAATTTTTTTAAAAACTCATCCCTTGGTTGCTGATGCTCAGTGGCCGTCTCTCTGTAGTCTGAGAGGATGAAACCACGCCCAGCGCTTGTAATTGGTCCGGACAATGAATGTCTGTGCCAGAATTGAGATCATTAGTGTACCATGTGCGTGAGAGGGCAGACGTGTGACTGTGTGTAAACATGACATCTCACTGTCCTCACTTATCTGTGCCACTGACGCATTTATCGAGCTATACGCACGGAGACGGAGTCACTCTCCATCCTTGCGTTTGGGTCCAGCACCTGAAGAACTTTTTATTTCATTCTTTTGGTTTCTTGAACATGCTCAAAAGATCAAAACTGTGACAGCGTTTCTCACAATTTGGATACAAACTCCGGTGCGTCTGCAGGAGGAAGTTGGAGTCTTTCTACTATCGATCTGTCAGTACGGATGCCCCGATGAGGGATCCAGTTGACTCAGCGGCTGCCATGGCTCATCATCCTTTCCAAACTCACCGACCAGGTGCTTTACCCTTGTCAGCCTATTTCACCGCCGCTCAGCAGCCGCTTTTCCCAGCCATGACTTTCCCTGATGTCGCCTCTCTGTCCGAGCCTCTGCCGGAGCCGGCACCGTCTGACGCAGGGCTGCACGCAGCTTTGGGACGACCGCGTCAGCCGTCAGTCCATCCGCGGTCCTTAAAGAGTCTGCAGCCTGAGGAAGGGAAGGAGGATGATCCTAAAGTCACCCTGGACTCACAAAGTTTATGGAACGAATTCCACAAAAGGGGGACCGAGATGGTTATTACGAAGTCTGGAAGGTGTGAGGGAAAACTGCGCAATAGCGCCAGAAGTATCACTTTATTGTGGTCCGTAGAAGAATTTTAGAACATAGAAATCATTTTCACTTGTGTCTGATTATTAGGATGTGTTTAGGCTTGTTTTGGGGCCTTTGCTTGAAAGGCTGAGAGTCAATATTTAGTAAATTACACCTTAAAGAAATCATTTTAACTTTCAGTCTTGTCTTAACCAGTTTTAACCTACAAAATGTGAAAAAAAAATATCACTTTTAGGAAAACTTCTAAACCAAATTATTAAGTCTAACACACAGTTTCATCATTTTCATTGTAGGAGGATGTTTCCGCCTTTCAAAGTGCGGGTGGATGGCCTGGATGAAACAGCCAAATACATCCTGCTGATGGACATAGTAGCCGTGGATGACTGCCGCTACAAGTTTCACAACTCTCGCTGGATGGTGGCAGGAAAAGCTGACCCGGAGATGCCAAAGCGCATGTACATCCATCCAGACAGTCCGTCCAAAGGAGAGCAGTGGATGAGCAAGCCTGTGGCCTTTCATAAACTCAAACTTACCAATAATATTTCTGATAAACATGGATTTGTAAGTATTTGATCTTCGTGATAAATGTGTTTTTATATATCACTGAACTCAGGTCACAGAACACCTCAATATGACATTTCAATCAGTTATTTTAAAGCATAGTTCAACCATAAAATCTTAATTGTGTACTTTTTAAATGTGCTATTTACCTACAAATCAGGCTGACATTCATTTTGTGTGTGTCTCTTTTTTTTCAGACAATTTTGAATTCAATGCATAAATACCAGCCCAGGTTTCACATTGTAAGAGCCAATGACATCATGAAGCTCCCATACAGCACCTTTCGGACCTACGTTTTCCCGGAGACAGAGTTCATCGCTGTCACTGCTTATCAAAATGAGAAGGTAACCTCAATGACCCCTTCCCTCTTCTCAGCAGATCTTATCTAGACCTTTGCAAACATCATACTATTGTTTTGTATTAATGAGGACTTAATTTGGTATGAACATTTTAAACACTATTCTGTTTTAAACACAAGTCCAGTGAAATGTATCAGCTCTGTTTACAGATGACTAGGAAATGTATTTTTCTTTTCACTTTCAGTTGACTATCTTCATGATTTTTCTTTTTCTTTAAAAGATAACACAACTTAAAATTGACAACAACCCCTTTGCCAAAGGCTTCAGAGACACTGGCAACGGGAGGCGTGAAAAGAGGTAACCGTTTTGCAATCAGTCTCCATGATAACAGATAAAAACAAGTGCCGAAATTTCTGTGGACTTAACATTAATTTTTCATCTTTAGGAGTAAGCAGTTCAACATTTATGCGCTACCTGAGAACCAAAGCAAAACGCACCGCGACTGTGGTGATTCTGATGACTCATGTGAACAACCCAGTACCAGGGGCACGTTTCATTCCCCTCAAGAGGTGGTGAAAAGCCCCCTTATGTCCACACCAACACGCCAAGGTGGGTCAACTTACAGACTGCTGTCAGTCAGCATGCGGCCTTTTTCTGCAATGTTTGTTTGGACCCTATTTAAAAGCTTGTCTTGTTTAACGCAGACACATTGTGTTGTTACTGTAGGAAGAAAAACAGGTGTTACTAATGACATTAACAAAGGCTTTCTTCTATTTAAGTGCCACTCTAAGCCATCAAAGCGTGACGGTAAGCCTTCGAGCACAATAGCAGGACCCTGAACCGAAGCGGCTAAATGGAATTAAGCCACCATTAAGTGTATTTATTTACACCTGGGCTGACTGTGACTTTTTAAAATGTCACTGTAGGACACAATGAAGGCTTTGTGGGAGTTCACCAAAGTCCCTTGAAGTTGCATACTCTAAGAAGACAAGAGCGAGAAATTTTGAGACATATTATGCATGTATGTTAGACAAATGATGCTGACCAAGTAAAAAAGGGTTTTGAAAAAGAGGAACCAGGTACACATTCAATACTAAATCTTTAAATTTATATTTTGTTATTTAGTTTCTCCATCTGACTTGAATTCATGTTACATATCTTAATTGTTATGCTGTTTTGTTAGAGCTTCCAAGCACATATGGTGGACCTCGTCTGCTTGCAATTTGAGCTTGGATTAAGGTCTTTTTCATGGTCAAAAATAACTTTTTCTAATGAGATGGCACCCTCATTGGAGGGTTGACAGATACAAACATCATGGGGAGGTATGACAAGGACTATATGTCGAAGGGCAGAGGGGAACTGAGGACATAGCAGGTGCATTGACTTATCCACTCAACAAGTAGGATGTGAACAACAAGGTACCCAACAAATCAGGAAGGAAGGTTGTTTGAGTGTAGACCTTAACCTTAATTTGCTGAGTGACTCAATTTGACCCTGCAGAGTTAGCTTGTCATAATGAATGAGATGTTTGCGCCAATATCGTTGCGTATTAATTGTTAATAATGCAGAAATATGCACATTGTACTGAAACTGCGCAAGTATTAAATGAACACAATGATTATTCCCACAGATGAGAACAATACTGGAAGCGATTCAGATATCGACCATAGAAATGAGGACGTCGCTGAAGCCGGCTGTTCCAGGACTGATCGTGTTTCGTCATTGAGTCAGAGGAGCGATGAAACCCTTAGAAACAAACCGACTCTCAGTAAGAGCCACAGTACTGAGGACACGTTTAGGGAAATAACAGTTTTCAGAACATCAGATGAATTGTCCATCAAGGAAACGGACTCTTTCAAAAAGCACACCAGTGAAGTCCAGCCCATGATGCTGCAGAACTCGGCATCCCTCAGCGCTGCACAGCGTCAGACTTTGGACTTCTCAAATGTGCACAGGCAACAATTTTTAAAGCTCGGGGCTCCTTTGTTGCTTCATCCTGGACAGCTGCCGATGAAGCCAGAGGCTTTTTCCTCCTCAGGGATGGGACATGTGTTTTCTTCCTTGCCTGGAGTAAATGACTCAGACAGTGGTGGTCTCTCCTCTCAAAGCATCAGCTCTGCATCTCCCTTCATGTTTCACCTGTCACAGCATATGCTTGCCTCTCAGGTATGAACCAGCAAGGGGACTGAATCCCAGAACCACCAAATTTTAAGACTTTTAGTCACTGATTTCATAAGTTTGGGGTGCATGCTCCTTCACACACACAGTATACAAGTTTTAAGTCAAATATTTTCCATGGCTCCAAGGGAAGACTATTTTTACCCCTTAAATGACTTATCTATACAGTAGAGGTGACTTTCCAGGAACAAGAGGAGAAAATAGAAAAGATAGTTTGTTACCTCAGTGGACCTGCCTTTTACATGTCCTGGATAGAGCATCGCCAGTGTAATGCAATGAGGCCATGAACCCTGAAACCAAGTAACCATCGAGCATTGAAAAAGGACGAGATGTGTGTGTATGAGACAACACAGGAATTTAAAACACCTTTACATTACAAATTACATTTGGATTGCAGTCAACACAGTTTGGTCTTGGTGATCCTATACTTGCTATATTCCTTTTATTAAAAACCTTTTTTTTTCTTTATGGCAAAGAGATAACAAAGAAGCATTTCTTTTCAGGGACATGCAGAAAAAAAACCAAACTTTTTGTGGCATAATGCTGCTACTTGGACTGGATTTCAATGAGAGTGCATTCAGTGTCTTCAAACACAGCAACATGTATGCTAATACTTTATCAAATAATTGCTCTCTATGCCACTTGGTCCTTAAAAGTTGCCATTTTTGAAGTAACACCATTATTTACATCTTATACAGTTGTGAAGGAGATACAGGCTGCTAAAGTTTAGAAAAAAAAAAAAAAATTTTTGTTGTTGACTGAACTGATAAGTTAGAATTTAGAACTTGAATTCTGAGTTTGAAGTCAAAAATTTGGAATTTTTTAGCAAAATTTTTAGTTTAAAATCAGAATTCATGCCTTTTTTTCAAAATCCTGAATAAAATGAGAGAGATTTTTCTGACCCTGTTTTAGTGGCCCTAACCACATTGATATAACATCAGTGAATCAGGTTTTATGTTCAGTAGGTTAATATATTTTAGGGATTTGTCTTGGTGTTTTGGTGTTGAGACGATGACCTACATTAACAGATCCTGGACAAAATGTATGCTAAATTTGCAAAAAGGAGCTGTACATATGTGCAGGAAGGTGCAAGAATAAAAAAACGAACTTCAGAGGTGTAAAGACTGCTTCAAAACAAGAATCTTGTTTTGCGTCTGCTTGTTTTATAGACCTTTCAGAACCTCAGATATCTGCAACCTGTGACATGATGACAAACAGGCATCAACTTTCATTGGAGAGAAAAATAAATTTTAGTTGTGCTTTTTGATTTTCAAGTAAATGGGTGTTTCTCTCAAGGCTTTCCATAAATCTGTTAAAATGAAATCACTGTTGCACACTTTTTATTTAGCCGAACGTTTTTGTTTTATTGGCCCTCTTTTGTTTAAGCTAGCTTTAATATCCTTATATCTGGTCCACGACAGCATATTTTAATGTACACAGCAGGACATGAAAATGTAGTTAAAGTAAAAAATGTTCATGATGAAAATGGAAAGTTAACCATTTTAATTTTGTCACTGCAGGGAATCCCACTATCACCATTTGGTGGATTGCTCTCATATCCCTACCGCTACATGGCAGCACCCACTGCGGTCCCTCCAGCCCTCCCCACCTGCTCTATAACCTCCACACTGTCCAGAAACAACTGTTTCCGCAGCCACCAGAACTGGTTGAGATTCAGCCCCTATCAGATCCCCACGTCCGTTACTTCGAGTCAAAATCTGCTCCCCACCAGCTTACCTGCAAGTTCAAACTCTCAGTCTGAGCAGACCAAATCTGGGAGCAGGGAGTCCAGTCCAGTGTCTGACAATCCCAGCCACAGTACCAAGGCCAAGCTGAAGACGGCACCGATGAAAGCTATCATTAAGGAGTCTGTTAAAGAACTGCAAAACCTGCAGGATCCAGCTAGAGAAGCTGGTAAATCACTTCCTTCACAATAGACTTACAAATGTTGGTTTTCACCTTACACATACATTAGCGGATTATGGATGTTAGATGATAGACACGAACAGTTGCACATTGTTAAAATCACTTTAAGTATATATTTTGTCTGAAATTGTGTGAATTGCTGCTATTTGATTTTTTTTTCATGTCACCTATAAACACTAACTTGATCCTTTGCAGTTCAGAAGGGACCTATTATTCCTTAGGTTTTTATTATATTTACTTAATCAAAGCATGCAAAAAAAATAATGTTTTAAAAACTTCTTAAATACCTAAAAATCTCACTTAAACCAGATTAAGCCCATTTTAAACTGTGACCATTACAGGGATTTTTTTTCTGATTGCTCATACAAAATCAATGCCTTTGTCAGAATTTAGAGATTTTTTACTGCCAAATTTAAATTATCTGGAAAAATAAGCCATCCAAAAGTCATCCCTACAAGTGGAGCACTGTAAAGGATATATTTTTTGTGTTATAAAAGCCAAACCCACTTATTTGGATCTATTTGTGATATCCCCCCTTAAATTTAGCTTTTATTTCTTATTACAAACCAAAACTTTTAAAGACGGAATTGACTTTGAATCCTGCCGAAGAGCAATGAGGAAGTTGTGTGCCACTTTACCACAGTTGCACTTTCTGTTTATGTACCAAAGCTGTTCCCTGGACTTCAAGGGAAGACTCAGGATATTTTTTTAATCTTTAAAGAGCACTTCAATCAAATGTCCTCAAATAATCTGTCAGGATGTCAGGAAAAATATTCAGGTAAATTGTTTGTGTGATTTCACTTGATTTTATTCACAATTTGAATAAAGGCACTGTTCACATTTCAAGATGTTGTCTTAATCTGTTTAGAATAAATGGATGTAGTAAAATATCCAGATGGCTGAGCTGAGAGAGAAGTGGGATTACATCTGCTGTTTTCACCACAAGACACATCTGAAACCAAAACGCTCATCCACAGTTTAATTCCTTGTATTTGTCTCTCTTTAGACAGCCTTGTTTGGTTGTATTTTCATTCTTTTTGAAAAGTTGCATAAAACATGCTTTAAAACTTATTACATATCTGATGACATACATACACTGGTCCACCGAGACCACATTATAGGTAATTCCTGATATGCAGAGAGAAAAATGCATCTGAAGCTTGTCAAAATTGGTGATAGATGTGGTACAGAAACGTCAACACATTGGCCACATAGTAGCCCAATATAGAAGTCCGCAGAATTGGATTTGATTCAATTCTCAACTGCGGATAGAGATCTGTCTGGATGTTATCCTCAACCTGTAATCCTCTCAGTTTATGTAATTTAAGCCATGTGTGCTATCCTTATCCTTAATTCTGTCCATTTCTGTTGTACCTCAGTCACCCTTTTAACACCATTAATCTCCCTGTTCATCTTTTCTGCCACCCCAAAGGCTTCGTGAGGCAACGAACAGCGGTAAATTAATTTACTCTGTGATCTTATGAAGCCACACAGTAGTTGACCGGATTCTGGCACTGCTGTCTCCTCTCTCTAGGAACCAACAATAACTACTGTGTTAAACAGCCACTGACAATTGTGGTGGCGGGTGTATGCTTATTAAAGCTTTACTACAGCGTGCTAAACTTGGTGCCGTGAAACAGCTGCTGCCGCCATGCCCTTGGCCATGGTGATGGTGACTGAGCAATAAAGGTAAATGAGCGAGTCTTTGGTCCAGCGCACTTCATTCTGTATGCATGAGTGCAGCTCACTGCTTGCAAAGGCAATTCCCAAAACATCCTTGCTTGTGACAGCAAAGCCACACTTGAGTTGCTAATCCCTTGTGCCTGAACTTCACCTCAAGCTGTACCTAAAAATATATACTTTTTGAGACCAAAAATGGCATACTGATTCATATAGTTGATGTGAAAAAACTCTCAGACATTTAGAGAAGGACCGCAGCAAACACTTCTTATTTTACACATCGAGTATTTGCTCAGATTTGTTTATTCAAATACTGTAAGTGAGTTTTTATAAATGTAACTTGGCTCTCTTTTGTTTAGGGCAAACAAAAGTGAACCAAGTTGCTTAAATGAGCACTATCAGGAAAAAAACAGCTGCGTTACACATTCTGTTCATGAGAGGAAACCTGAGAAAATACCAAACATTTTAGCTACACTTAAGGCGCATTCATGAAGGTTTACACATGGCCAAGCTGACAGGGGAAGTGACAAATACTGGCCATAGAAAGAAAGGCATGAAAAGGCTGTAAAGCACTAAGAATCTCTTGACTTTTGTGAAAAGAGAGGTGGTTTCCCAGGAGAAAATTTTATCCTAATGTTTCTTTCTTCTCCAATGAGCAGGTCCTCTCTTAAAGTTACGCTGTGTATTTTTCCTCTTGGCTGAGTGAACACTTGTTCTGCACAAAAATCTCAACTGGCCTAAAAATATTTCAAGGTCATCTGCAAGATTTTTGCAAACCACAGGAAGTTTTTCCGTGGAAGGTTGGGGTCTTTAGAGAAAATCACTCACATTTACACCTATTCTACAAGTAAACACCACATGTATGTCACCTCACACCTGTAAGAGTGTTTTAACTGTATAATTGGTGGTGTATCTGTAAAAGTGACTTCTCTATGTGCCTTTTTAGGTCCGTAAAGCTGAGATGATACTTTTGAATTAATCATTCTGTTTTGCATTATAGTGTCAAAGCTACTCTGTGCATGTAGGCTTAGATATCCCTGGATACTGGGTGAATACTCAGCATAGTGCTGCTCTGAGTTTTCCTAGTAAAATAGGAGCAGAGAGAAAGATGTCATCACAGATGGTTCAAAGAGAATACAAAGTCATCTGTAGCATACAATATAAATAGTGCTCTTAACAGGGATATCGTCCAAAAGCCTGTGTTATCATGAATAAAGCACAACAGTGTATCCCGCAAGCTTTGTTAAAGTGAGGGTACAAAGAGGAGAGGAGATCTAGAGTAAGGTGAATCAGAGAAGTACACTAAAAAAGGAGCTGAGTGAAATATCTAGTGACAGTTTTCTATATCCAATCACAATGAGGCATCAGCGCCATGAGTGACAATACAAATGCAATATTTTAATGCCCCGCTAGGGCTGGGCAATAACCGAAAATTTACAAATACCAAAATTTATGACAATAACCAACGTCATTCTGCCCACTTCAATATATACTGTGTCAGGCTATGGTCTCATGTCCCTTTAAGACGCTGTCCTATGCCAGAGATGTGACTCCACCCCATCCGGTCTGTAACAAAGAGGGAAAGACAGGTGAGGAGATGGAGGACGGTTCAAAAGTTGTAGCAGCTGGAATGGCAGCTGAAGTAGACGAAGTTAATGTGGGAGGGGGTGAGCAGCTTGTGGAGTAGTTATCGTCCATTTATCGTTATCAAAGTGAATATATCGTGATATTGATTTGAGGCCATATCGCCCAGCCCTAGCTCCACCCCGCCAATTTTCACCAGGATATTCTGTATAATGTTGCTTTTGTTTGTCAGAGTAAAATGCTCTAGAGCCAGTGACTTGGTGATAAAAGATGACAGAAGTAACCCTGGCCATTAATATAAACATAAATATCGAGCAGCATAAGTATGGTATCACCATTAACATTGTTTTTCTTGCAGCCCTTCCAACTATCATCCTTGTTTGTCTCCTCACAGGATGTGGAGGTAAGTTAAGTGGATGAGGCTCCAATAATATGACATGGGTTGACTGTCACACTATTAGAAACAATGAGCCAAAAGAAGGCCTCGGGGTCTCGGACTGACCATTTAATTCCCAGGCATAGTATCAGGGAGAGCAGATATGCAAATTGCACTGTACCAATACTTTCCAAAGGAATGGCCTCTAAAGCCATCTAGTGGACCGCAGTAGCAATTACATCACATTTTCGTGAAGTCTCAACAAACTGGATCGACAGTTGCAGTCTGAACTGTTTTTAACACGGAGAGTGACATTTCTGAATTGATCTTGCATCTTTATTGTTCTCATTTGCTATTATTCTGTTTACTTTTTGACTGTTCTACTTTTTCCTGTCGTGCCAATTGAAATCCTGAAGGCTACAATCCTGTAGTGCCACAGTGACTCATCCCACAAGGTTGCAAATGTATGAGGTAACACATTGTTGCAGGGAAATACCTTTCTGAAAACTTGTTTACTGTTGAGAGTGCGCTCTGGCAGTGTTTCAAATGTTACGAATGCTCCAGTTTACGTTGATGTAACAGAGGAAGAAAAAGCAACTTTTCAGACAGTTATGTTTCACTTTGACTCTCCACTGTATGCATCAGTCTTTGAATCAGTCTTTTTCACATATGCACTCTTGAAATTTTTTAAGAACTATGCCCCCATTATCCCTGGCAGGAAAAATTTGGGAAAAAATCAGAGGTGAAAATTTTAGCTGTTTGTGTACATAAGTGTACAACCTCACTATTTTGAAAGGCTTTTAGAAGTTTTCTGTGTGTACAAATACAGCTCGAGACATTTCTGTTACAAAACTTTCAGTGGTTTTAGGCATTTTACATAGCTATTTTGGAGCTGCTCCAGATATCCTTCGATCCGCATTACCACACCCAAGAAAACAGCTTAATCAGATAGCTTCCTATGATGAAAAGGATCAAGAACTTTCTAAGAAACTCACACGATCGTATTAAGGCTCCGGCTCTGCTCTCTAAGGAGGGAAAATTTGTCTGGGTCATTCCTCGAATTCAACAAGAGGATCATTTAGAAGTTTGCCTTTTAGAAGTAAGGGAAAGCAGAATTCTGCACAAAAAGTGCCAAAAAAAAAAAGAAGAAAAAAAAAGGATCCTCCTAATTGTAATTTACTTGAAACTCCAGTTCAGTTGCTTCTGTTTTGTTGATCTGTTTAGGCCCACAGATAATGTCTTTGAGTTAAGTAAGGCCCTTTTCAGGAAAGGTTTTCTACACTCAACTATTGCAGAAATAGTACTTTAGTTATTAAGTGCTATAGTTTGCATTACATGCTTACTATCAAATGTATTTCATTGAGTGGCTGACCAGCATTTAATTTTATTTTCATTGAATTTCCCTTCAGGGATTAATAAAGTTCTTCTTATCTCATCTTTTACACTGCTCCCATCCATTTGCAGACACAGATCCATGGCCTGGAAACGAGCATGTTTTGGCAGGAGCTTTGTCCCCTCTGCCATTGCTCTTCTCAACAATACACCCAGGTAGTGATTGTGCGTGTGTCTGTGTGGGTATCTGTGGGTTCACAGCGGACAGGTGGTAGATATTTCACCTAATCGAATGTGCTCTCTGCACAAACAGTGGCAGCAAATTTCCCAGCTATGTACCTACTCCTGGGGTTTCTTGACATCAAATTTAGATTAAGTAAACTCTTGGTTTAAAAAAATCTTTGGAATTTGATCCAGATTAAAAATAAAACGTTACAACACTTTGACATTGAATTTAATTTTGGGTAGGGTAGAGTGGGATAAGATGAGCCAATTTTGACATTTCGTATCACAACATCAATGCAATCATAGTTTTGTCTCTAACTAGTGTATCTGCATATATTTCAAGATGTTGTGCATCCCTGCAAACCAACAGAATGAGTGTCAGAATGTATTTAAGTGATTCAGAACATTCACAGCTTTTGAAACGAAAAAGTAACACATTTCAACAGTCTGAACTGAAACTCTGATCCTCTCATCAGACTCCTTTACTTTCTCAGTTGATCCACTGGTTCAACTTACCCCAGAACTACTATTATGACTTTATTAGTCCTCTAAGCTAAAATGGTGGACTTTTATGCTCGGTTTTTGACCTCATGTTGTAGCTCATAGATACCATAATGGATGTAAAACAGATTTAAAATGATCTTTTTTGGTCTGAACACAATTCTAATAAAACTTACGACAGACTAAATTCACTTTCAAGAGGGATTTTTTTTTTTTTTTGTAAATAAATGTCTAACCCCTTCACCCATGCGCTTCTAACCTTCACAGACTCCATGAATTGATGTCCATCACCTAAATATTTGGTCACATGATCGATTTCTTCTACCATTCCAAGCAACAGGAGGTGGCTCAACTTACCCTTTGACTCAACTTACCCCACCCTCCCCTATTCGCTGAAATCTTGTAGTTACCTTGAAAATTTACCAACAGCCCTTCCTTGGTGTAAACTGGTTTGGCGAGGGCACTTAATCGATAACTTCGGTGACTTCTCTTGTCGTATTGATCATCTTTGGCAACACATGGGTGATGGCTTCAGGTTGATTGTGCAGATGCTGATCATTTATTTACTATTTTTGGCCATCACATAGTCAAGTCGAGGCGTAACGTTATCTAGTAACTACATGTCAAACATTGGCAATGCATTAAGATAACCTGTACACAAGCTGGCTTCGGATTTCTTCTGTAATATCTCAAACAGTTTCTTTTCCCTCTCATGAGCCTCACTTGAAGCACCGCAGTGATTTATTCAGGGTCTGTCTGTCTTGGTTTTGCTGCAAACGGCACATGGTATTCATGTATGACGCAGGACCACCTCCTTCTCCAGGACCCGGCCCGTCTCTGTTTAAACCCCGCCCACAAAACCTCCTCAAGAATCTGATTGGCTCTCTGAAGACGAACCCTCCTAGATCTAGATGCAATAGATCGACAATACAGTAAAAGAAGAGTATGTGCTGTACATCCTCGCTGTGAATACATATGACAAGGTGGTAAGAAACGCGATTATTTTACTCAGATATTTTGACACTTGCAGAGACATCAAATGCTTACATTACCACTGAAAAATCTAAACAAAACTATTCTATAATGTCTGTGATAAAGTAGAATTTAACATAAAGCAGCTAAAAGAGATAAACACCATCTTAAAGTGTTCATGTTAACAGGACAATGTTTACTGTACATGGTTTTAATTTGTTCAAAGGTGTGTTGTGAGCATAGACTGTATGGGTGGCTGTAGAAAGTCTTTAAACAAACTTTATTTGCTGATCTCAAATTGTTAAATTTAATTCATTGTTAACTGCGTATTTATCTTTCATTTTGACGTTGACATTTCTTTTAGTTCTTCAGGTTAGCATAGACTTTTAAATATCATAAATTAATGTAATTAACCCTAAACTTGTGTCTACAAAATCAACACATGTTCATATTTTATGCAAAAAAAGGCTCTTTTAATGGCATGGATATTTAAATAAGTAAACTCCTATGATATATTTAAATAGTTTATTTTATGTGAATTCCTAAAGCTACATTGGGAGGACAGCTTGACCATAACATACATATATTAGACTCACCTTGTTAACCAGGCTTTTCACTAATTGCCTTTTAATATTTCTCTTATTGCAAATGTTCATTTTAATCAAAGTTCTTAATGTTTTTTTTTATGTCATTTTATTCATTATCTCTGTTCTTAGTCTTTTTCTTAATTCCCGTCATGGCTTTTTACTTCTTTTACCCCTTTTACATGGTAAAGAGCTCTTGCTTATCTGTTCATTTTATATTATTTTCTTGTTTTAGTCCATCAGGTTTGAGTCTTTCTTTTGACCATTTTTATCCTTTATCTTTAATCTCCAGTGTTTCCCAAAGGTAGCTCTTTCGTCATGTAATGTCTCAGTGTCAGGCCATGTCTCCTTAACATTATATCTCAAATTCTCATACTGTGTATCTTTGTGTGTGTGTGGGTCCATGGGTGGGTGGGTGGGTAGGAGGGTTGGGTTTTATTATTTTTTTAAATTTAATGTTTATTTTATCAGGCAGTCTCATTGAGATAGAGATCTCTTTTACAAGAGAGGCCTGAGAACAAGGAACAACACATCAACACACAACACAACAAACAAACAAGAGGTAAAAAAAAAAGGAATCAGTTAAAACAGTTACAGCAATTACTGTAAACATCAGACAACAGGTATTTAAAATCTCCAAGATGAATAAAAGACTCCAGTTTAAGGGCGGTTTGCAGCTCATTCCATTTAAAGGGAGCATACTAATTGAAACCAGTCCTTAGTACAGGTATATGGAATATCTAAGGTTAGATAGTTACTGGATCGTGTTCTGTAGCTACTAGGTTTAAATAAAAGAAGAGATGTGAGGTAGCTGGGAAGCTTCAACAGAAGAGCTTTATAGATGAATAACATGAGATGGATATTTCTTCTCGACTGTAAAGAGGTCCAGCCAACCTTTTGATAGAGGAAACAGTGATGAGTGCGAAACGTGTCATGAGTGATGAGACGTAGTGCACTATGATACACATGATTTAACTGCTGAAGAGTTGATGGGGCTGCATGGCAATACAAGATGTCACCTTAATCAAGGACAGACATGAAAGTGGATTGTACAATGATTTTTCGGTTAGGCGGTGATAGACAGCCTTTGATTCTGTATAAAAAGCCCAATTTAATCTTTAATTTTTGGGTTAATTTCTGAATATGAGTCTTGAAAGATAGATTACTGTCTAGCCAAATTCCTTAATATTTGTAAGAGTCATTGAGGGCAATTTGTGGGCCATTTAGGGTCGTGATTGTGGAAAGGTCCCAGATTCTAATGGTGGATGATGTTATTGTTGATAATTGTTTTTTAGCCTCTGTGAGACACTTTGAACTGCATTTTTTTGTGTTTTAGTACCTATTTTTTAAATGTACTTTCTTTCATTGTTTGATTTTAAGAGTTTTATTTAATTAACCTTTAACATTTTATCATGGGTTTTATCGTTTTAGTCCTAAATCCAGTGTTTCCTCATCTTTTTTAACTCAAGATAGTGTTTCCTCAGTCATCTGTGGCAAGTTGAAGATTGTGTATGCATCTGTGTGTGTGAGTACTGTATGTGTTGAATGGGGGTTGGGGGAGTGGGTGGGCTTTGGTTAGTGTATTTTTTATTATTTTATTTCATTGTCTTTTAAAATCCAGTTGAATTTGAACTTGAATTTGAACATAGATATACTGTACGTCTGTGGACTTGACTGTGTAGTCGTTTCTACTTTGTCTATGTCTATAGCGGAAGTGGCGGTCAGAGGTCATTGTCCAATAGTAACCCGTGTGCGCATCGTCACATCACCCCACTCTCTGCTGTTAAAGCGTCTGTCGGAGCTGCGTGACCTCACCGTGATGTGATTTTTTTATCACCATCATCACTGGAGACAGAGATGTCTGACAGACACAGTTAGTTTATTGATCGGTGGGAGTCAGCTCTTTCAGGATTACGCTTCGGTTCGTCTCCACCGGTGAGTTGTTGTTAGCCTGGATGTTTATAGAAGCTTGTAGGTCCGCCGGTGGGTCGATGCAGCAGGCTGCAGCCCGGTCCTGTATTAACCTGCAGTGCGGTCACTGTGGATTATAACTCTGTTAGTTAGTGACCGGTGAGCTAGCTCACACCTACACCGCGAGTTCGAGCTTCTCTCCGGCTGCTGCTGCTGAGTTAGGGAAGCTAGCTCTGACTTGACAGGTGGTGGAAATTAAACCCAACATAAATCATCTAGGAAACATGATATACGAATTTGATTAAATCTACACATTTTTGACTGACGGTTTCATTTTGTGATGCTCGTCTGGCTCACGTTTTCACTGTGTCTGGCTTCAGTGCTCGGCTTGTTTTTCTGGTCCCGCAACCATCTAGCGAGAGGTAAGGTGTGCCTCACCTGAGAGCCATCACTTCCAACCTAAAAACAAGCAGGTGAAATAACATGGATTTGTAGCAACGTGAGGAGAAAACTGAGGCTAGCACGATGGCAATAATAACCACATCTTTATTAACAGCTAATGCTATCTACTGCAGCTCTACCATAGAGTCTATTTACAGCAAGTTTTTATCGACTTGATCAGACGTTATTACTGCACCTTATATTTATAAATTTCAAACGTGGTGGTGTTCCTAATATTTTGTCCATTTCATTAACCAAAAAGAGGGGAGCAAAATACTAGGAACACCAAAACTGGAACTGAAATAGCGTCATAAAACTAGAACTTTTGGTAAAGATGCTTTGTCGTGATGCATTCAGGGATTCCTAACATGTATTTGTTACTACAACAGAATATCTTTTAAGTATTAGCTGTAATCTATGTGTGCAGTTTTTATCAACTTGACCAGACGTGATTACTGCATGTTGTATTTATAATTTTTAGACGTGGTGGTGTTCCTAATATTTTGTCCATTTCATTAACCTGAATGAGGGGAGCAAAATATTAGGAACTCCAAAACTGAAACTGAATTAGCGTCATAAAACTAGAACTTGTGGTAAAGATGCTGTCTCGTGATGCATTCAGGGGTTTCCAATGTTATTGTGGGTGGATGTATTTGTTACCATAACAGAATATCTTTGAGGTAGTAGCTGTAATCGATTTGTGCAGTTTTTCTCAACCTAATCAGACGTGGTTACTGCACGTTGTATTTATAATTTTAGACGTGGTGGTGTTTGTTAGCTGGACTGTGATAATGATCAAATTCCTAATAATTTGTCCATTTCATTAACCTAAATGAGGGGAGCAAAATATTAGGAACACCTGCTAACATGATGTACTCCAGTTCACGAATACCCACTATAAGATCAACAAATAACTCAAAGAAGAGCTTAAACCTGTCTGGTAATGTCAGCCAAAATTGAAACTGAAATAGCTCCATAAAACCAGAACTTGTGGTAAAGATGCTGTGTCGTAATGCATTCGGGTTTTCCTAATATTACTGTGGGTGGATGTATTTGTTGCTTTAACAGAGTAACTTTGAAGCTGTAATTAATTTGTGCTGCGAAAAGTTAAAGTTAGTCAAAATAACATGCCTTATTTAACTCAACTGCGCCTTAATCTTATTAAATTTAGTAATAATACTACTATCATCATTGTGATGCGCTTTGTTACCCCGATCTTGAAAGGTGCAACATAAAATAGCACATTATTTCAAATTTTTAAATTTTCATTTCATTTGTATTTTTATTATTATTAAAGCTCCTACAAAGGATTTTTGGCTTGTGTCAATTTATCTGCTTCTTACAGACAAAACAGTCTAAACTGAATTTCAGTTGAATGTGTAAAAGTTGAATTGTTGTTAAATTTTCACAGAAATATCATAATGCAGTAGTAGAACCAATAATCTGTATAATGCACCATGCTCACTGTCTGGGTTCCGATTTGGTAACATGTTGTAATGCTTTATCAGTGCATAAGTTTATGTAACCCACTTTTGCAAGAAGACAAACAGTGGGACATGCTGGTCTCGTGTCGCACTGACTGTACTCTGATATTTGGACTCTTTATCTCCTCTAAAACGATTGCCACCACTGTTGTGTCTCTTAACAGTATTTGCAGCCTGTTCGTGTCGTCCAGTCATGGCACAGCAGGACGGTGCTGCCAAGAAGAACCCAGCTGTCGCAGCTTTGCACTCTCACTTCATTGTGGGATCGGTGTCGGAGGAGAACTCGGAGGATGAAATCCAAGGGAAGCCTGAACCGCAGCTGGAGGGGAAGGAGAGCCGGTCCTTGTCACCATCCTCCGTGAGCTCAGACAGCACCTATGAAGCGGGATTTGACCCTATTGATGGCCCTATACACAACTTAAGGTTAGACGCTAAACTTTCTGTATCTCTTTGATTAAAAAGATATTGTAATAGTAGCTGTTTCACTTGTTTTCTGTGTGCAGAACAAGCCTGCAGACCTTTTAGTTTTGTTTGGAACACTTAAATATTTTCCAGTATTAAATTTTTGCACAGTCTTCAGGACTTCAGACAAGAAGTAGCTTTTGCAGCTGAACGATTTTGGGTTTATTAAGATTTACCGGAGTAGTTTCTTAATTTCTCATCCATAGCTGATTTATTTATAGTAGTTAAAGTGCATGCAGATATGAGCAACAAGTAGGGATCCTGCAGTTTCAATGCTGTCTTCAGGCGTTAGTTGTTTGAGCAGGTTTGGGGTCCATCATGAGTACACTCTGTTCATGCTGTGTACTCCTCCTTCTTTGCAGGGTTACCTTCTTTCGATGCACGTGTGAAAAAAAGAATGTGGTTTCAGTAGCTGCAGTGCAGGCTGCTAAAGGTTCCCTTGTGTGCTGAGTCTACCAAGGAATCCTGGCTATAAGTCATAGGCTGCATAATGTTGGTTTTGGAAGGGTGCAAATATGCGTACACAGAGAAATTCCCATCCAAAAACGTTCAAAGGAACTTTGTGATGCTGTCTGAACTTTGCATAAAGCTTATATTAGCTTATATTCATGTAATTATCATAAGACTTCCCAATCGTCTGTTTTTCAATCATTGTTTTGTCCAGTCTGGTTTAACTCGATCAGTTTCACAAGAACCAAGAGTATGAGAAAGTGTGGCAGAGGGGGGTTGCTGAGATTTTCTTTGACAGGAGTTTAAAAACTGGATGTTCTTGATTTTGGGGGGTGTTTGCCTCCTCCACCCCCTCTATCTTCTCTCTCATAGGACGGAGCTGTGTCTCACTCCACATCTGGATTGGAATCACAGCTTCCATTCAGAGGGGGCTCAATCACGGTAACCCCTCTAGTGATGCAATAAAACAGTATCAGGCCACAGAAGCCAGCCAGCCAAACAAGCCCAGGCACTGCCACACCCTCTAGCTGATAGTCGTAGGCCTCCCCCAGCACCAATCATTCCCCTCTTTGGTTTCTCTATAGGTGGAGCTTGATTTGAATACACCGGTAACCGTTAAGCGCTATTAGAGACACTTGCCCAAGCATGTTAACATGTTTAAAGTGACCTGTTACGCCATGCATAGTGTGAAACAATGTCAGTAGTAACACTTAAAAGGGGGGGCAGGGGCTGTTTGTCTTCTTCAGGGTATCATTATTGCCTGTTCACTTCTGCTTTTCAAACATGCAAATCAGTGTCAGCATCCCCATCGTAAACTGGTTCTCAAGGTTACATTAACACTTTCCGTAAGGTGGCTGTAACTTACTTACAAGCTGTAAAGTTTATGATAGGAGATCAGTAGCTCTCTTATCTATATGAGGTGATATCAGCGTCTTTTTTCATCTACTTGTTTTTTTTTATTTTTTTTTATTAGGTGATGCAAGACAGATCATGACAGGTGGTTGGCAACATATAAACAGTACAAACAGACAGTGACTAGAACAACAGGGACACATAACATTTGGAAACATTTAGAGGGTGTTGCAAGGCTGTGTTTGGAGTGTGGGTGGCTGGGTGGGTGCTTTGATGTGTGTTGAGAAGTGTGTGTGTTTGTCCCCTCTTTTGTTGTTTTTATTTATTATTATGATTACTATTATTATTTTTTTCTCGCTCTCCTTTTTTTGTATTATTATTATTATTATTATTATTATTATTATTATTATTATTATTATTATTATTATTATATTTCTATTATAATTTTCTGTCTCTCTGTTTTTTAAATTTATTTTTATTACAATAATTAATATTTTTGTAATTATTGTTATGGCATAATGCTTACCTTTTCAACAATTTTCAACATTCATCGACTTGGTTTATAACATTAGTTGTCTTCAAAGTTGCCACCAGAGGACAGGCGCTATAGTTAGTTTCTGTTTGATTTCTACACTGTATTGTTTTGAACCTTTGAAAATAAGAGCCTATCGGCTGCCTGAAGCTCCATCCTTTCCAAAACTGGAGGTGTCACAAAAAAACGCCATTTAATACATTCTTTACGTGCTTCAAAACAGGCCAAGCATGTCAGGGCTGCATCTGGTCAAGCAAGGCCGAGATCGCCGGCGTATTGATCTCCAGAGGGACTTCACTGTGGCCTCTCCCGCTGAGTTTGTCACCCGCTTTGGTGGAAACAAGGTTATCGAGAAGGTGAGGGTTTTAAAGGGGGTGCTGTAACTGTTTCAAGTGGAATACATTACAGATTATTCAGGAATTAATCTCAGCAAAGCGCAAGTCGTTTGGTGTGTAAGAAATAGCACAAATCGTGAAAAGTAACATTGCAAATTTACTATTTGCTTCTAAAGGTGCTTATTGCCAACAATGGCATTGCTGCGGTCAAATGCATGCGGTCAATCCGCCGGTGGGCCTATGAGATGTTTCGCAATGAAAGGGCGATCCGCTTTGTTGTGATGGTGACACCAGAGGACCTGAAGGCCAACGCAGGTGAGCTTTAGCATGATGTCTCCCAACATAAAGCTAGAGCCCTCATAACTTACTGGAGACTTGAGTAGTTTGAATTTAAGCATTACAGCTTATTCAAAGAAAAGTACCATCATGTTGTAACGGCGAGTGCAGTCTGAAAGATTTGCTGTGTGCCCCACAGAGTACATCAAAATGGCAGATCATTACGTGCCTGTACCAGGAGGGACAAATAACAACAACTACGCTAATGTGGAGCTGATTCTGGACATTGCTAAACGCATACCTGTTCAGGTACCATCACACACCTAATATATGGACATGCAAAGTGATTAGTAATTGTGAAACTGATGAATTATTGTGTTCCTTACAGGCTGTGTGGGCTGGATGGGGTCACGCCTCAGAAAACCCCAAACTCCCAGAGCTGCTTCATAAGAATGGCATTGCTTTCATGGGTACGAGAGACTTCTTACAGTTAGTTGAGCTTTGAAATCACTTTTAAACTGTCAGTTTACTTGAAAAAAATAGCTTTTGTTTTCCTCGACTTCTTCCACAGGTCCCCCAAGTCAAGCGATGTGGGCTCTGGGCGACAAGATCGCCTCGTCCATCGTTGCTCAGACAGCTGGAATCCCAACTCTGCCTTGGAGCGGCACAGGTGGGCTATAGCTAGCATGGGGTTGAGGACTTTTCTTCAATCTGGCTGTTTATGATTATCTGTGAAACAATAAATAGGATCTTTTCTCCTGCAATTAGAGGTTCTTTAAGTTTCCAGAATGAATGAATGCCAATGTGGCAGTTTTTCCAGATCCTTGAGATCTCACAAGCAACGTTTGTGTTCTGACTCTGTAACCTGGTAATCTGTCTCAGGCCTGACAGTAGAATGGACAGAGAGCAACCAAAAGAAGAGGGTCATTAACGTTCCCTCAGACGTGTATGAGCTTGGCTGCATCCAGGGTGTAGAGGATGGCCTGAAGGTGAGCTTGTTATCTAACTGACAGCTGAAAATGCAAAAAAGTTACATGTTCTTTCATGTACATGTATGTTCTTGTACATGTATTTCTTTAAACTGCGTGTTTCAACTACCAGGCGGCAGAGAAAGTCGGCTTCCCTGTGATGATAAAAGCCTCCGAGGGAGGAGGAGGAAAAGGCATCCGCAAAGTCAACTCTGCTGATGATTTCCCAAACCTCTACAGACAGGTTTGTGGGAACTTGATCGTGTTCAGTTTGTTATTTTCCCAAACTGAACACACTGTCCAAATACGAACAGAATCAAGTCAACCCAGGGTTTGACTACAAGCGTTTTGTTTCTCTTTGGTTTTTCAGGTTCAGGCAGAAGTCCCAGGGTCACCTATTTTTGTCATGCAGCTAGCCAAGCATGCCCGTCATCTAGAGGTCCAGATCTTGGCTGACCAGTATGGAAATGCCATCTCTCTGTTTGGCAGAGACTGTTCTGTGCAGCGACGGCACCAGAAAATCATAGAGGAGGCCCCTGCTACCATCGCTACATCTGATGTGTTTGAGGATATGGAGAGGGTACAGCATTATTTGTATTTCCACTCAGTCTTTGTAGGTTAATACATGATCATTTTCCTTGTTACAACCAATTACAGTAAAACATACCCACTGAGCATTTTTTGGTCTAAAAGAGGTCTAATAGACGTCTAAATGTAGCCTAAACGACTGGTCTAAAATCAGGCTACCACAGGTCTAAAAATGAAAGTTTTTAGCTGTCTAAATTTAGACCAAGTCTTAATCTGGGCTATATCTATACTACACTGTATATTGCTCAACGGCATCATAATTACTTTGGTTAAGTACTTGGAGATCAGTTATACAACTCACACTTGTTTTTTTGAAATAAATAGTTATTGAATAATGGATTAAAGTGCAACATCTAAATTCCGTCTAAAAATATACAGAATCTAGACGGTTGAAATTAGGTCTAAAAAAAAACTAGACGTCTAATGGCCTTCTATTGCTCAGTGGGTATCACTAAAAGGTAGAGAGGATCCGGAAATTTCTCTACAAACACGCACAAGGCCTTAAACCAACACTGGATGCCCATGATCTCCAGGCCTTTTAGAGGCATTGAAGTGACTGTACTGGAAATCACTGAATGGGCGCTCAGAATCACTTCCAAAAAACCCTTGCCAGATAACTTAGCTTGTCACTGCATCCACACCCACAAATACATATTAAAGCTGTACAATGCAAAGACAGAAAACATGAACACAATCAAGAAATGCCAGCAGCTAACAGACTTACAGAGTAGGGATGGGAGAAAAAATCGATATAGTATAGTATAGCGATATTTTGATGTATCGTATCGTCTCATTTACCAAATATCGATTTTTTCAAATTGATTGCTAATATGTAGTCAAATCTATGATAATGGAAAAATAAAATCATCTGTTTGTCCAGTGAGGTTGGCAGAGGTGATATCATAGAACAGGAGAAAGATACACTAACAAATATAGCAGCACCTGGGGAAAGACATTAGGAATGCTAGCAGGGCACAAATGAGATGGACCTGACACACAAGGTTTGCAAGATGTGCTACATGAAAATGAAATACTGTGTAAATAAGACAAACATAAAGGAAAGACAAATGCTAAATTAGCTAAACAGTTAAAAAAATGGTATAAATCGCAATATATTGTATCGCAACATCTTAAAAATCGCAGTGATATCGTATCGTGGGGCCACTGATGATTTCCACCCCTATTACTGAGTAAATGAATCTTTAACATATTTAAACCTGTATGTTAACTCTTTTTTTTTTTCTCCTTAGTGTGCAGTCAAGCTGGCTAAGATGGTCGGCTATGTGAGCGCAGGTACAGTGGAGTACCTCTACAGCCAGGATGGCAGCTTCTACTTCTTGGAGCTCAACCCTCGTCTGCAGGTGGAACACCCCTGCACTGAGATGGTCGCTGATGTCAACTTGCCTGCGGCGCAATTGCAGGTCAGCTTACCTCCCGCAAAGGCCCTGCAGCGCATATGTTGTTACATCACATACAGTGCATTCAAGTTCACTACTGTCCCACAAAAGACAAAATTAGCACGCTCCGTTGCCTGACACTAAACGGGCCCCCCCCCCGTGTCCATGGCAACAGCCTGCAAAAGAGCGAGATGATTTGCAGAAACATTGCATTAGATGCGGCGTTAGTAGCAGCGGGTGGTCACGTGGTGCAGTTCTGCAGTGTTTGGGATTGTGTGTAAATGGGTCATTGGCAGTCAAGCTGAAGGGCAGCGTGCTGGGAAAGCTTTGTAGGCCGGCTGTTTGGGTGTTACAGTGGGAGTGACGTACACTGTCTGGCACAGAGGACGAGTGTTTCTTCATTCCAGGCAACAAGAAAACTCACTTTCTTTCAGGAAGATGTTTATAAGTTGTGTACAAAACCGTTGTTGAAAATTATAAGACAAGCACTCTGGTATTCAAGTGCACATATGATGCAATCTGTTCATAAACCGGCGTAATACTCACTCTGCCATGTCTCCTCAGATTGCCATGGGTATACCTCTTCAAAGAATCAAAGACATCAGGATGCTTTATGGGGTGCAGCCCTGGGGAGACTCTCCCATTGACTTTGAGGGTCTGTCTACGGCCCCCTCCCCTCGGGGACATGTCATCGCTGCTCGAATCACCAGTGAAAATCCTGACGAGGTGAGCCTCACTCTCTCCTGGCTGAAACACAAAACCCTCCCAGCTAAAGGTTACATAGAGTCTAGGATTTCTGTTATGGTTGTTTTTATTAAACCTCTCACTTTGTAATCCTGTTGTACCATAAATAAAGACCCTTGTTGTGACTTTTTTTAAAGGTCAAGTCCGCTGTTTTTTTAGTTGTTGCTGTGATGTGTTTGCAGGGTTTCAAACCAAGCTCTGGGACAGTGCAAGAGTTGAATTTCCGCAGCAATAAAAACGTGTGGGGGTACTTCAGTGTTGCAGCCGCTGGAGGGCTGCATGAATTTGCTGACTCCCAGTTCGGACATTGTTTCTCATGGGGGGAGAACAGGGAAGAAGCAATCTCGTGAGTACAATCTTAAACTATGCTTGTGTCAGAATCTAAAGTTTTTGTTTTTGGAGGTTTTTAGTTACATCTCTGTCTTTTTGTTGCTCCAGCAACATGGTGGTGGCTCTGAAGGAGTTGTCTATCAGAGGAGACTTCAGGACCACAGTTGAATACCTCATTAAGCTGCTGGAGACTGAAAGTTTTCAGCACAACAGCATTGACACTGGCTGGCTGGACAGGCTCATCTCAGAGAAGATGCAGGTACACCGCGAAGTGTTCCTGCTCTAAACATTTAATATATAAAAAAGAACTGCCTCAAATACGGATCCTTCAAAACCACATAGCAGGAGACTGGTGAGATTTAGTGGATTGAAGAGTTGAATGTGTGTTTTGTGCAGGCGGAGCGTCCCGATACCATGCTGGGAATTGTCAGTGGTGCTCTTCATGTCGCAGATGTCACTCTGAGAAACAGTGTGTCCAACTTCCTTCATTCCCTGGAAAGGTAAAAACATGTTGTGTCGTGGGTGAAATGAAACTTGTGTAGTGTTTGGATAGGAAACATGACATGCTCTTGACTCTCTGTCCAGGGGCCAGGTGCTTCCAGCACACACTCTCCTCAACACTGTAGACGTGGAGCTGATCTATGAAGGCACTAAGTACGCTCTGAAAGTGACCCGCCAGTCTCCCAACTCCTACGTGGTTATTATGAACAACTCATCTGCTGAGGTGGACGTACACCGCCTCAGTGATGGAGGGCTTCTGCTGTCTTATGATGGAAGCAGCTACACCACCTACATGAAAGAGGAGGTGGACAGGTTAGATTCATCCTTGGTTTAATGATTTATCGGCTGAAGTAATCAACCAGTTTTGACCTTAATTAAATTGTTTGATAAGCTGGTGTAATCTGGTTCTTTTTCATCTAAAATATGTTTATTTTTTTCTTTCTTACAGGTATCGCATCACCATCGGGAACAAGACTTGTGTCTTTGAAAAGGAGAATGATCCTTCACTGCTGCGATCTCCTTCAGCAGGGAAACTTATCCAGTACACAGTTGAAGATGGCGGCCATGTGTTTTCAGGCCAGTGCTATGCTGAAATCGAGGTACAGCGTGCAGTAATGAATATGACTGTTGCAAAGTCTACTGAAAGACAAAAATACCTCAAATGCTCTTTATTTTTACCTAACGATTAGTATAGATGTAAATTCTGTGCTTGTTGATTCCAGGTAATGAAAATGGTGATGACTCTCACAGCTGCAGAGTCTGGTTGTATTCACTATGTGAAGAGGGCTGGAGCGGCGCTGGAACCAGGCTGTGTCATCGCCAAGCTGCAGCTGGATGACCCGAGCAGGGTGCAACAGGTACAAACAAGTATATGTCTTAAAAATGTGAATATGTGCAAGTACTTTTGGGGAAAGTTACAGGCTGTCTAACTCTCTAATTTTAAGTTGCATAGTAGACTTTACTTAAAGAAGGTCTATATACGATACAATACAATAATACGATATGATAATACGATACACTTTATTGTCCCCTTAGGAAAATTAGTCTTGGACTCCAAGAGCTGCACAGTTAAAGCTGCCAACTTATGGCACAAATTACTAGACCTGACAAAGACACAGTCACACAACCCATGCACATTGCACGTACATAAATACATAATCAATATTCAGATTATGATAATTCAACAAGATCAGTCTACAATCATAGCCCCAGCTTAATGTAACATGTCTATGAGGAGCAATGCATTATTCACATAAATGTCAGCTGATGGTAAAAAGGGCAATAAGGATGTAATTTAACTGGTTGAAATGTTCATTTAGGTTTTGTCCACCAGCGAGTAGCATCAGTGGTAAAAACTGAATATTATTTTTGCTGTCCGCCCCATCAGATACCAGGATGTTGTGTTGCTCTGTAACACACAGAGAGGTGCTGATAAATTTTTAATCCTGCCACTTAGAAGTATAGTTCTTCTGCTGAATGCTGTTTTTCTTATTCTATATATAGTGCAGCAAAGTAGAGGATGCTCTTGGACTATAACAGGATAATGATACAGCATATTTGCAGTTCAAATGATTCACTCAGTATTTAAATCCTTATTATTGTCATCTTCATAGCTGTTTAAAGCCAACTAAAAAAACCTGTGAACCTGATATATAAGTGATTGGGATATGTGCACTTTTGTTTATGACAAGTCAATTCATAAAGTCAAGAAATAAATGGTGCAGGAAATAGAAAATGATGGTTTAATAATCTGAAGATAAACAAGCTTATGTTTATCAGACTGTCAGGAGGCATAATTAAAGTTGGAGGAGTATCTTACTTTACTTTCGACTTAAGTATAATCTGCAGCTTTCTGGTCAAAGCTGCAAAAAGATTTGAGTTTCTTTGAAACAGCAGCTGCTTACTTATTTTAGAGCAGTGTTGTTTCTTTCTTTTGGTCTAAATCATTGGGAATTCTTTTGTATCACATATCAGCCTATGCATGACAAGACTGTCAAAAACACATATGAGTCTGTTTGGTAATTAAAAGATTATCTATTTTTATTTGTCTTCTAGGCAGAGCTGCACACTGGGGCCCTGCCGACTATTCAGGCTGTGGCCTTGAGAGGAGAGAAGCTCCACAGAGTCTTCCACAACACACTGGATCATCTTGTTCACATCATGAATGGCTTCTGCCTCCCTGAGCCTTTCTTCAGCGCTAAGGTAGAAGTTCAGTCTGACTGGTTACATTTTAACAGCAACTCTCGTAACTGAAAGCGATTCTCTAAAAAACTGTCTCCTGGGTCTGCCACAGTTGAAAGAGTGGGTGGAGCGGTTGATGAAGACCATGCGTGACCCTTCTTTGCCACTGCTGGAGCTTCAGGACATCATGACGAGTGTGTCGGGTCGCATCCCCCCAGCCGTGGAGAAGGCTATCAAGAAAGAGATGGCGCAGTACGCCAGTAACATCACATCTGTGCTCTGCCAGTTCCCCAGCCAGCAGGTGACTAATCAACAAATACACACACCAAGTTAATGAGAGTTTGTCTTCTGCATACCATGTGGCTAAAGTTGGTATCCGTGGTAACTGTGGATCCCTGAGAACAATTATTGTTTATGATGCAAAGTAATCATTAAAGTTGAGGGCGAAGATCCGCATATTTTTGTAGGTTAAGTGTCATTCATTAAAGAAAGGTGTCTTTTTTTTTCTCTTTTTTTAATTAACATTTAAAAGATGTATCATTGTCTCATAAATGTTCCCCACACTCTGAAAAAGCAAACAATAATATGACTTATAGTGAAAAGTTGCTTTCAAACACCACTAAATTAATTTATCTAGTTGAAAATACAATCTTACCCCTGAGCTGGGACCTACTTGTTGGGGGGGTCAAAGGTGCCTCTGGGATTAAGTGCTCACCAGCCTCTGCTTCCACAGGGATTATATGCTTGTATTGTAATCTTTCCTCCTTCTAGATTGCAAACATCTTGGACAGCCATGCTGCTACTCTCAACAAGAAGTCAGAGAGAGAAGTCTTCTTTATGAACACACAGAGCATTGTTCAGCTGGTCCAGAAGTGAGTACAACAGCTCCACCAGACACTAAGTTCAAAAGGTTTATTCTGTAGTTTTGAACATGAATTTATATCTGGTTTTCTTTGTCACCTGATCTTCTGTTCCACGTAGAGATTATACATCTTTTGCCGTCAGCTGTATAACGCTGCATAGTTCTTTGTGTCAGTCCAGACTGCTTGTCTCCATCAGGTATCGCAGTGGTATTCGAGGTCACATGAAGGCCGTGGTGATGGATCTGCTCAGGCAATACTTGAAAGTAGAAATCCAGTTTCAGAATGGTAAGAGATCAAACCTTATTATAGGTTAATGTAGTTGTTTTGATTTTTTTGTTCAAGTTTCTTTTCTTTTTTTTTCCAAAGAAGCTGCAATGCACGTTCTTACCACCAGGTGGAGCCCTGTCCCAATAGCTCTTTGTGCTGTTTCCTAACAGCTCAGCATTTGTGACAGCAGTTTCCCTGTTCAGGGCTAACCAGAGCTTTCCTTTGTTGATTTTTATCAGGACACTATGACAAGTGTGTGTTCGCGCTGCGTGAGGAAAACAAAGGCGACATGGCCAACGTGCTCAACTACATTTTCTCTCATGCTCAAGTCACCAAGAAGAACCTGCTGGTTACTATGCTGATTGTAAGTTTCTATCTTTCTCAGCTTAGCTATTTTAGAAATAAAAACAACTTCTATTTTGAGATTTTTCCTTTGATATGTTACATTTAGTCCTAAATCAAACTCATTTTCAAACTTAAGTATCACCCTTATCTGGCCAGGATTATGATTACTGAAGTCTGTAATGGTTTAAGATCAAGTTGTTATTTTAAGCTCTTTATACATCTTTTTACATCTCCATGGGATATGATGTTATTGGGTAAAATGATGTGTAACATATTCTCCTTTATGTGTAGGACCAGCTGTGTGGTCGTGATCCCACACTGACTGATGAGCTGATGGCCATCTTGACCGAACTCACACAGCTCAGCAAGACAACCAATGCCAAGGTGGCTCTGCGGGCCCGACAGGTGAGATCAAAGCTCCACATTTAGTATTCCATTGAAAAAACTATAAATGACTTTCTGTGCGTTTACATACACTCAAAATTACAGCTAGTGAAAAAACAGCAAACGGTCTATGTAGAATCTTTTTATAACCCACTGTTCTGTGTGAAGTACATGACAAAGATCCGGTTATAAACCTAAACATTCTGACTTCACTGATATCAGACCTGCTATGCACGAGCGTGTGAGGACATGAGATGGAATGAAAATGAGGAATGGGACACACAGCTCCACATATTTTCTAAAAACATGAATGAAATCAGGGGAATAAAGTCTCAGCTCCAGCTCGTGTTTTTATATCATAGAGTTTAAACAGCATATATGGTATCCACAGTCAGGGAAGTCCTGAGTACCAGTCCTAAAAAGAACGCTGCAAAAGTGCAGTGAAAAAAGCAAAGAGGTGAAAACATTCGTCGCAAACAAATGTATTTATGTTTTTTCCTGTCAAGTCCATGTTTGCTTGTGTAGGATTTCTGTTCATATTAATTAGATACTGTTTCAATATACAAACAGTTGTATACATTTAATGAGGGGCTAGATAATAAGTTTATGCATCGCAGAGAATGGACTCTTGCTAAATCAAAAAGAAAAGTTGAAAGATATGCAGCCTTGCGTGCCTGCATCAGAGTTCTCACACACTGTGTGGTTTGACGGTGGGACATCAATAAATCAGCTGATATACAAATACTGAGTTAATAAAACAGAATGATACTTCCTTATATTTGATTATTTTCACCCAGAGTTGGACTTTAACTGAAACCAACATTTTATGTTTTTATGTTGAAATCCTGCAACAAAGTGTAATAACAAAGAAAGCTGCAAAATATTACACTGCACTAATAGATCAACAGAGTTTTTACAGTTCACGTCAGTTTCTTTTTAAAACTTAAAAATGTTCAAATTTAAATAAAGTTTTATAACGAGAAAAATCGAATACAGGAATTATTTTGCTGTATTAATCCTCAGCCTTGGGGGTGATAATTTCACCACTAGATGTCACTGTCAACTCTTAATATGTTCAGCATCTCAAACTGAAGTGGAGAGCATGCCATTACTAAAATAAAACAATAAAAACACATTAAGACTCCAGCATTTTCTTCACTCCCTTAACTCAGGTGTTGATTGCCTCCCACCTCCCCTCTTATGAGCTACGGCACAACCAGGTGGAGTCCATCTTCCTCTCTGCCATCGACATGTATGGACACCAATTCTGCATTGAGAACTTGCAGGTAGGCAATGATGAAAGTTCAGTTGAGGCTTTATTTGATATTCTGAAAATGGAAAGTGTGAAGCTGACTAATCTTTTTAAAAATGTTTTTCATAGAAACTGATCCTATCAGAAACCTCCATCTTTGATGTTCTGCCCAACTTCTTCTACCACAGTAACCAGGTGGTCAGGATGGCTGCCCTCGAGGTCAGAAGCATTACAATCTCACTTAAGAGATCCATTTGACTTGACCTCTTTCAACGACTGTTGAAATGCCGCAGATCTACTCAAAACCATTTGTCCTCTGCATCCAACAACCGCAGGTGTACGTTCGAAGAGCATACATTGCTTACGAGCTCAACAGCGTTCAGCATCGACAGCTGAGGGACAACACGTGTGTAGTAGAGTTCCAGTTCATGCTTCCTACCTCGCACCCCAACAGGTATTGTGACACCAGAAAAAAACTGCAGCACTCACATGCTATGCATCACGTTTTATGCAGCTCCCCCAACCTTAAAAGGCACTGTGGACGGCAAACTTCATACATACTGTTCAACATCTTAGACCAAACGCCAGCATATTAACTTTATATCAGTGAGAATATTAATGGAAGCAGTTGCGTCGATCTTTTATCACATAAACTGCATTTCCATGAAGCCATTAGCGTTTATTGGTGGTTCTACATTGGTCTTTTTATTCTGCTACACAACGGTCTAGGTGTTTGTGCAAAAGTGGGCATGTATCCCACAGCCTAGAAATGGTTTATTTATTATTATATCACTATTAGCAACAACAAGGATGTTTCTACTCTTAAGTCTGAATCACACTCTTTTTGTGCCATAACTCAGGGCAGGGCGATATGGCCTTGAATCAATATCATGATACACTGAGCAGTTCACCTCGATATCGATAAATGGACGATAACTACTCCACAAGCACCTCATCCCCTCCCACATTAACTTCGTCTGCTCCAGCCGCTACAACTTTTGAACCGTCCTCCATCTGCTCGCCTGTCTTTTCCTCTTTGTTACGGACTGGATGGGGTGGAGTCACGTCATCCAAAACCAACTTTTTATCTATTTATTTTTTGACACGGATTATATTGACATGGGCAAAATGACATTGGTTATTGTTGTAAATTTCAGTATCGGTAAATTTTCGGTTTATCGCCTAGCCCTACCATAACTGTACTAAGTGATGACGATCACTTAGTAAACCTATGCATGGTGCCACAGTCCCTCTCCCACAACCCCAGCTGTATGTCACTGTTCATAGTTGTTCTCCATGTAAATGCTCCTCATGTGCAAAAGATGTTATTTTTTTGCAAAGACCAAAAATACCTCTTGGTTTGTCAGAAGTAAGTGAGTCATATGAACGACAAAAATTCCCAGCCTCAACAGTCTCATGTCAGTTGCCCGTCTCTGTCAGTCCACAGGGGCATGATAGGCTGTACGAAACTACAGAGACTCTGAGAGAGACCAAAGACAAACTTGGGATTTGCCTTGTACATGCACAGCATTTCAAAAAGCTTGTAACAGATGAAGCCACCTGGCTCTTCTGCATCCACCCTGTGTGTCTGTGTTCTGTTCGTTTATGTGCGGATGTGTGCGTGTCTGAGTATTTGTCGTTTTTTTTACATTCACACATGTTCTTGCATGCTCATGATTTCCCACGCCTGCACTAACCCTCACGTGCGAACTAAGGACAGCATGGGAGTTTGAACCGATCCTCTGTCTTTGTTCAGAGTCAAACTCTGGACGAGGAGGCTTGTGGATCTGATGATGCATGTTTTAAAAGGGAGCAGTCAGGAAGTGAAATGTGTGTTACGGAGCTACAAAGTTAAACCGAGTTTACTTCTGTTTTCATTCAGCTGTTCATTGTCATTAAATATATATATATATATATCAATCTCCTTAAAGGATAGACACACATTGCTAAACCTTGACTGTCTTCCTCTCCTGATGCCTGCCACTAACCACTTGGTAATCATTGTTGTTTAATTGCAGAGGGAACATCCCCACTCTAAACAGGTATTGTAAACATTCTTTCATTGCTTAGATTACTACTGGCTGTAGACTAGCTAGCTGCATGTCAAAATAGCTATTAATCTTGTTAATTGGTTTGGTGATAAGGTAAAGAGACAAAGCTTGTTTGGTGCTTTTAAATGTACAAAAATGAAACTGTTAATAAACTCAGAAGTTAGTCAGATTCAGTAACACAATGTCTCTGGTTACTGACAAAAGCATGCCTATTAGCATTCAGTCTCTGTGTCAAGCATTTCAAGTCTGTGTGTGTGTGTCTCTGTGAAAGACTCTTTTTTGTTTTTCTAACTTGAGCGTGTGTGTATCTGCTTCAGTCAGTTTGAGAGATTCGGTATAACATGGGGTTTACAGCGGTCTGAGACCACTTCAAATCAAATGCTGGGAATGTTGTACACCAGTGCAAATCTCTTGAACTGAAAAACCCTGTGACTGTCCTGCCAGGAAAATGTCTGTTCCCGTCCTGGACATTTCAAAAGCCAAGAACACAAAATTACAGGAAACTAAAGACCAGGACCTAAACGCTCAAGATAGCAAATCTCAGGATGATAAAGCTGAGAAGAGAAATGCATCCGATTTGGATTCTGTGGACAGGTTTGAAACAAACAAAAACTAAATTTCTATCAGTGGGTGTAATTTCTGGGAAAATTTCTTACAATTCGACTAACATCCAACAAAACAGAGCATCAATTCTTCAAAGGGTGTTTCTGGTGTTTTTTTTTAATTTCCTAGCTCCTTTAAAAGGGACATTTTTATTGGTTTGATTTCCTACCACATGGTCTGCCATAAATCCTTATCATATAATGCAGCTGTCACGGTGTTCACGTAAAGTGGTGTAATTTTTTGAACTTGTTCTTGAGTAATCAATTCTCACTCAGTTTTTATTCAAAAAATCTCCATCAATCAACATGTGAAGTTTTGAAGTGCTTACTACAAATTCAGCATTTTAGATTTCTGAGGAACAAAAAGTGGAATAAAAACTGTGGTGAGCTTCCTAAATGTGGGATGTCTTCTGTCTCTTCCTTTTTATGCATTTTTCCATAATAATTGTTCCCTCTCAATACTCTAGGATGTCATTCTCATCCAACTTAAACCATTACGGCATGGTGCACGTAGCCAGCGTCAGTGATGTCCTGCTGGACACCTCTTTCACACCACCTTGTCAGCGCATGGGAGCCATGGTCGCTTTCCGCTCCTTCCAGGAGTTCACCAGGTCAGTCTAAGAAAGAAAGAGGGCTCTCAAGTAAATCATATTCATGTGGTAATATAATATGATAAAGAAGTATAATCACAGGAAAGTATGATGTTTTTTCCTACACAGGAACATCACGGATGTGCTGAGCTGCTTCTCTGACTCTCCCCCGCCAAGTCCAACATTCCCAGAAGGAGGAAATCCTGTCCTGTATGGTGAGGAGGACAGCAAGGTAATGACAGACTTCTGGATGTTTATGACTTTAAGTACAATAGATATTCATCAATTAGATTAAAAAAAAAATGTGATAAAACCTTTTTATACAACAGTCTCAAAGGGACTGTGATGCCTTTTAAGATATGTGGTTTTGTGTGGTGTACTGTCATATTTAGATTGTTTTTAATGATTCAGTAGCTGTTTTTCCTTTATTGTTTGTGTTGCTTGTTTTTTGACTTTCCCACCCAGAGATCACAGATGTAAATTAGCTTTATGGCTAACTTTAGCTCAGCTATGAAACAGGATTAGGGCCACATGAAAGGAAAAAAAATAATAACAGGAAGGATATTAAAGTCGAAATTTCGAGAATAAAGTAGAAATTTTGAGATTAAAAAAATGTAATGATGTCAGTAAAGTCAAAAGTTTGAGATTAAAGTTAAAATTTTTAGATTACAAAATGTCGTGAATGATGTTGAAATTTCGGGATTAAAAAATAGACATTTTGAGATCAAAGTCAAAATTTTGAGATTGCAAAATTGAATGAATGTCAATAAAGTCGAATTTCGAGGTTAAAGTCGAAATTTTGAGATTACATAATGTTGTCAATAATGTTGAAATTTCGAGATTAAAATAATTGTTTTTTTAAGATTAAAGTCGAAATTTCAAGATTAAAGTTGACATGAATAAAGTCGAAATTTCAACTTTTTAAAATGTCGACTGTAATCTCGAAATTTTGACTTTAATCTTGAAATGGAAACCTAAAAAATCTCCCTCCTGTAATTATTTTATCCTTTTCTTGTGGCCCTAATCCTCTATCGTTCTCAGCAGGTCGTGTTGTGTCAAACAAACTAATAAACTAAAAATAAACTCACTCTCCAGAGTGTCCAGGATGAGCCGATCCATATCCTGAACGTGGCTATAAAGACGGACAGCGACATCGATGATGACGGCCTGGCTGCCAGCTTCAGAGAGTTCACTCAGTCAAAGGTAGGAGTGGTCTGCTGTAAAGCAACTTCTGCAGGAGGATAAAACACTTTAAAGTATAAGATCTCATGTTGTCATTTGTCTTTTTCAACATTTTAGAAATCTCTGCTGTTTGAACACGGCATCCGTAGGTTGACCTTCCTAGTAGCCCAGAAGGTGAGAGCCCTGATTTCATAATAACAAAACTGATTCCCTGTCTTCACAACTGGCTGCTCTGCATGTCACCAGTTCAACAGTTCTGAATAGCATGTAACAGAATTTTACACATTAATTGTCTTTAATTTTTTCTTGTACGATTACTAATACATTTGACTTAACTGAAACTGATTGACTGACTATAGTTTCTGTCATAATTGGCACATAAAGTAGCTTATTCTCTTGTTTGTCTCTGTGTCTCTTTCTGCATGCCTTGCTTTTGCTGCATTTATGATGACAGGATTTCAGGAAGCAGCTCAACTGTGAGGTGGACCAGAGGTTTCACGTAAGTAAAGCGAGACAGAGGTGCTGGGCAGAGAGGGCTCTGAGTTGAATTTCATTGCAACAATATCAGACACATCCTCCCAAAAACCTGCACATTAGATACTGAGACAGTCAGTTTTGACATTTGTTTATAACAACGTTGTCATTGACCAAAAAGAAGCTAAATTGATAAGTAAATAAAAAACACTTGTATGGGTTTTTAAGTGGGGTCCTACAACTCATTTGTTTTTAATAGAGGCGTACAGATATCTGTGAAAAAAGGGAAATGTGGTATTCATAAGTCTTGAGGTGCTATTTATACATCCTGTTATCATTATTACACTATATCTTAGTCTGATTGAATACACAGAGATTCCCTGATCAAAAACAGCATTAGCACAATCTATGCTGATCAGTGTTCTCATCATCACTGCATAATAAACTAATGATACCGGTCACATAGTCGTGTAGTGATATAAGCCAATCACAGAGTAGATAGTGTCATCTGCTATAATACATTTACAATCAATAGGTGTCTGACTATCATTATTAACACTTCTGTGCTTACAGCTTTGTTTTTGTCAAGCTGATTTTGATTTATTTTCATTCTTTGTTTCTCTTCCTGTCAATTTTCCACACAGAGAGAATTCCCCAAATTTTTCACATTCCGTGCCAGAGACAAGGTGAGTTTTTTTTAAATCACTAAAATACGGTTATAAAAGATTCCTAAGTCTGTGTTTTCACTTTCATGAATGACCTGGTTTATTAAAACACAAAGGGATGAAGATATATTTTATGCACATGTATCAGATAAACAAATTCAGACTTATTGATCCATCTTCTTGTGCCTAAACACTGAGCAGATCCATGTCATGGTTGTAGAAAACAACCGTTCTCCACCTCTAGTACTTCTTAATTTCATTCTATCACAGCCATTGACAACTTTTTTTCTCAGCTCCCACAATAGCTCTACCAAACTCATTAAAGTAATTAACTCTTAAATTATGTCTCCCATTTCAGCTAAATGACACCCATTAGACGCTCCTGAGATTGAGATTGGCTGTGATTTAATTTACTCCATTAACTATGTGACTCTCAGGCATCTTTTTACTCTTGATTTACCCCTGAAATTTGCGATTCGAAACACTTATTTATAACAGGCTCAGAAAAAACTGTCCTGACAGTCTAAAAAAATGTAAACCCACACTTGTGTCTGTCGTGTTTCTCGCCAGTTCGAGGAGGACAGGATCTACCGTCACTTGGAGCCGGCACTCGCTTTCCAGCTTGAACTCAACCGCATGCGCAACTTTGCTCTCACTGCCATTCCATGTGCAAACCACAAGATGCACTTGTACCTCGGTGCGGCTCGTGTAGAGGTGGGCACAGAGGTCACGGACTACCGTTTCTTTGTGCGAGCTATCATTCGCCACTCTGACCTCGTCACAAAGGTAAGTAAGCGGAAGAACAAGACGGCTTTTAGATTCTTGCACACGATATTTATGCTTTTTGTGTTGGTTTTCACAAAGATATCAAACTTGTCCCCAAACTTATTAGGAGGCGTCTTTTGAATACCTTCACAATGAGGCTGAACGTCTGCTACTGGAGGCCATGGATGAGCTGGAGGTTGCTTTCAACAACACAACTGTACGAACGGACTGTAACCACATCTTCCTCAATTTTGTCCCAACAGTCATCATGGACCCGTCAAAGGTTTGTGAACATATCTCACTGTTAAATTTCTGATCAGGTCCAGATAATCGCTGTTATTCTTAATCTACTCTTCTCTACAAACGTCAGATCGAGGAGTCTGTGCGCTCCATGGTGATGCGTTACGGCAGCCGTCTGTGGAAGCTGCGTGTCCTGCAGGCCGAACTGAAAATCAACATTCGCTTGACTCCAACAGGGAAGCAAATCCCAATCCGCCTCTTCCTCACTAACGAATCAGGTTACTACTTGGACATCAGCCTGTACAAGGAGGTCACTGACTCTCGAACGGGACAGGTGGGGCCCAAAGATCGACAGGTGGGGCACTCATCCATCATCCATCTCATCCACTTAAAGTCCACCTGCTGGTGTGAAGGCATTAGCTCCATCCTGAAAACCTCCGCTTGTATAGTGCAGTTAACCAGCCTCTCTTGATCAGTGAACTAAGAGTTTTTAAGTTTATTTACATAAGCGGTAAAAAAACATTTGAGGCTTTGGGATCAGAGCAGAGATTCAGTATGGTGCGTTGCCTTGAGCCTGGTGGACATTTATTTCAGTAATACTCTCTCTCCTTGCAGCTGATCAGGTAAGTTTCTCTTCATCAAGCCATCCATTCATTTGTCCATCATCACATCTCCCATTTTTCATGTGTTAAATCTTGTCAATTTACTTTCTTTTTCCTGTTGTTTGCTTTGTTTACATGATAATGTATGTGGCGTTGGGTTTACATGCCTGTTCTTATAAGACTGATGTCCAATGCTGTATGTCGTCATCATCATTGTCTCTCTCAAAACCATTTCCACAAACATGATCAAAGGGGTCACTTTGTGTATCACCGTGTCTGTAAATTGACCCCTCTTTGCCTTTCTTTTTTACAGATTATGTTCCAAGCGTACGGAGACAAGCAGGGCCCGCTGCACGGCATGCTCATAAACACACCCTACGTCACCAAGGACCTGCTGCAGTCCAAGCGCTTCCAGGCTCAGTCTCTGGGCACGACTTATGTCTACGACTTCCCTGAGATGGTCAGACAGGTACGCTTTAAAAACCTTTACGCAGTTGGAATTTCCATTCTTTTCCATACCTACTTTTTATAATTATTTTAGGAAATACCCACTTTTCAATTTTAGAAAACAATATTTTAGAAATGTGGTAATAGTCTGTAAACATAAATATTTTTCCATACTTTATTTTGCATTTTCCATACTTTTTAAGACCTGGAAATTGATCAAATTTATTCCCATATTTTTCCGTACTTGTGTAGGAACCCTTCTTACGACATAAGCCAGATCAGCTGATTAAAATATTCATTTATTGTATTTGCATGGCACATAGTTTCTATATTTTATATATCATGATTTTTGCACCATCCTCTGGTATATTTCCCATTATGCCTATATTACATGTTTTTATTGTTTCTATTAGGTATTTCTTTCTAAGTCCCCTGCCAGTACACGCACCACTGCTAACTACTATTCGCTCTCACTTTTAAATTTTACTTGTTGGTGATGCACCTTTACGCACTCGCGGCCTCGGCGAGATGTTTCCGATTGCTTACTGATTGTCCATTAACTTCTACCATAAAGTTTAAAACAATCAAACTTCCGTAGGCAAAAAAAACCTTAATTTGGATATACTGATCCCTTCATTCCTTGCACAATAAACCAGTAAATCAAAACCGTAACCAGCTGCCAGTCAAAAAACAAAAGCCTTCTTGAGCGCCACACGTGAAAGACTTAGTGGGCACCCTAAATAGTCTTTTCGCCCCTCCTACAGCGCCACACGGTGAAATCTAAAAAATCTTTTATTTGATGTTTTTACTCCAGAACTCCACGACTCTCCTTGCGTGAGTAAACCTACCTGTCACTAACCTGAGTCTTCCTCTGATTATTCTGACGTTTTTTTTTTTATTTCAGGCTCTGAAGAAGCTGTGGCACTCCAGCCAGACCTTTGCCCACTTACCCAAATGTCCTCTCCCCTCTGAGCTGCTCACGTTCACAGAGCTGGTTCTTGATGCCCAGGGTCAGCTGGTGCAGATGAACCGACTGCCAGGAGGCAATGAGGTCAGTTTTCGAAGACGTACATTACATAAAATGAGACTAAAATCTGTCCTCTTTGAAATGACCCCTTTTTTAAGTGTAATTCCGCTCACATGCTGTAGGTGTCTCTGTGTTTCTTCAGCTGTGCTTGAACGCTTGTCTAACACTTTATTGATGTATGAAAATGCTTAATGCATCATTTAAAGTGCAATGAGAAATGATACCTAGGTCCTGTAGTTGTATTAATTTCACCACAACCATCAAATGTTGCAGCCTGAATCATCCATGGAGCATGACATATTGGATATCGATCTCATACTAACCTACATTAATTGATCATTTTAAACTCAAAATTACTTTAAAAATAGATTAAGAATAGCTGTGTTACATCATTTTTCTAGATCTTCAGCATTCAGTGTGTCAACCTGCCTCTTTTCTACCTGTCTAGATCGGTATGGTGGCATGGAGGATGACCCTGCGTACGCCAGAATACCCAGCAGGACGGGAAATCATTGTTATAAGCAACGACATCACACATAAGATAGGCTCATTCGGGCCACAGGAGGACGTGTTGTTCCTGCGAGCCTCAGAGATGGCGAGGGAGAGCGGCATCCCTCGGATCTATATCGCAGCCAACAGCGGCGCCCGCATCGGGCTGGCTGAGGAAATCAGACACATGTTCCACGTGGCCTGGCAGGATCCAGCTGACCCCTATAAGGTCAGACTTGCAGACGACTGGATTTGTTTCTTTTCTTTGTGTGTTTTTGGAAACTTAAAGTTTAGTGTCTCTAATATATTCGAGTTCTTTCTCATGAATATCACTTTTTTGTTTGCATATTCTGTGTTTGTAAGTGTATTTCATTTTCTTGGATATTTTCTTGTGATACTCTTTTCTCTCCTTTTGTCCATTAAATAGTTTAATGTGATTGTCCCTCTGTATTCGTCAAAAACATCATAACTAAGCATTCTTCTGTATTTTCTCTATGCAGGGTTTCAAGTATCTCTACCTCACACCTCAGGATTACAAGAAAGTTTCAGCCCTGAACTCTGTGCACTGTGAGCATGTGGAGGATGAGGGAGAATCCAGGTAAATCTTTTTATAACAAATCAGCACTTAACTTCATATTCAAAGAAACGCATCTGTAAGAAGCTGTGGCATCAGGCAAAAATGCATGACTTCACCAAATCCCTCGGGATTACAACACAGGTGAAAATGAAAGGCAAAGCTGTCGGAGGGTCACATCTTGCTTAGAGTGAATATATGTGCTGTCATGCAGGTACAAGATCACCGACATCATTGGAAAAGATGAGGGGCTGGGTGTGGAGAACCTGAAAGGGTCTGGAATGATCGCTGGAGAGTCCTCTCTGGCTTATGAGGAGATCATCACCATGAACCTGGTAAGACACAAGTGGCCCGCTCTTGCATCTGGTTTCTTCACACGTACTGGAGGCTCCAAGGTGATTATCTTGTCTTATAGGTCACATGCAGAGCAATAGGGATCGGGGCCTATCTGGTGAGGCTTGGACAGAGAACCATTCAAGTAGACAACTCTCATATCATCCTGACTGGAGCTGGAGCGCTTAATAAGGTAAAATGATCCGAGACAAAGAGACTTGTTGAAAGTGAAAATGTGATGCTGTTGTGGAATTAAGTTTAGTTGTCTTCTACTTTAATGTTGAATTAACTTGAAAGAAGTTATTTTGGTAACACTTTACTTGACGCCTATCTCTATAACGCATCACAAATATATGTATAATGCATTATAATCACGTTATAGCACTGTATAACTATAGTTATAAACACTCAGAAATGATCATAATACTTGCCCACATAGATAATGCATTATACATATATTTATGATGTGTTATAATTTGCTTATAAACTCTTATAACTATAAATATATACACTCACTAATTATCATAGGGCTTTATAACAATAAGCATAACACATTATAATACCTGACCTTGTAAGTCATGATCAAATGCTTTAAAATGTGTTATGATCAAATTAAGAAATTTATATCACATCATCAATATATGTATAATGCATTACCTATGTAGGCATTGTCAGTAAGTTGTTAACAGTTATAAAACATTATAATACCTGACCTTGTAAGTCATGATAAAATGCTTTATAATGTGTTATAATTATTGCTATAAAGCATTATGATCATTTATGAGTGTTTATAACTATAGTTATACAGTGCTATAATGTGATTATAACACATTATACATATATTTATAATGCGTTATAGAGAAAGGCGTCAAGTAAAGTGTTATGGTTATTTTTGATGTGCAACATTTAATCAATCTGTGTCCTCATTGAGATTTTACAATAAATATAAATTATCATCCTGTTTTTAGTCAGTATTGGAGAAAGGGTAAACACATGCCTGAAACTTTTCCTGTAAAGGCAGTATAGCACAGAGGATTTTTTTTATTTGTATGATAGGCAAGATAAATCAAGATTCTGAGATGTATAATCCCATGGAAGACTGGTACATTTTATACGACAGCGACAACAATAAATGAGAAAAGTGTTGCTTGACTTTGGAGCTGTTCCAAATGGCTGATCAGGCTTCTTCCTCTCTGCCTTGTGCTGCTCTACTAGGATCCCCCTCTCTGATCATAGCCACAGGCTAGCCTGCCACTCATAACGGAATAATTGAAAGCGAACCATGAAGTTGTATTTGCATAGAAATAGAGTGACATGCTTGGGGCTGCAGCGTAGGACACACATATTATTTGTTTTTAATCAAAACGAGAAGTTTCGCCGAGGCAGATTGTTTTCCTGCCGCATGAGGCTGATTGCTGCGCGCTTGTGTTTTTTGTGCGTAAGTATGCACGCTTCACTGCCGCCTCTTGTCTCGCTTTCTATCTGCTGTCCTTGTCAGCGCATTAAGATGACTCCATTTCAAATTAGAGGACAGATTGCAACATGACAAATCATGCAAACCTATTTGCTGGAAGCTCAGTTGTTTAAAATAGAATCACTGTGAGTTGTATTCGCATCTGCCTACAGTGATTGTTACTGACATTGTAAACAAAGCCTGCGCAATGTACATAAGAACATTTTTTTGTTTACATTTAATCATAGAAATTCAGAAACTGCATGGTTCTCACCTGCAGCTCAGGGGAGAAACGAGGTCGCTCTTCTCTGCTCATTTATCTTGTGGTTTTCTGGCTATTAACTGAAACTTAATGGAGAGCGGGAGGCTGCCACCCAGAGATCATCATTTCATTAGCTGCTGGAAAGCTCTCATATTTTCATGGGGAGTGGATAGTAACTACTAGCATAAATACCCCAGTGAGCTGTTTTATCCAGTTTGCCCCTTATTTTCTTCCTTCCAGTCATCTCCCAGTGTCCCCTCCTCCTCCTCTCCTCTCTGCTGCAGAATCTTAATGAAGCCGCCAATAGCCGCAGGCACAGGGGTTTTGTGTATGTCAAGGTGACTGCAATGTTTCTGGGGGCCGCCGGCTCTCCTGACAGCTTTAGGAGAGTGCCCCAGATTTGTAGCCAGATACATAACCATTAATGGTAATAAAGAAAGTAAATGATGGCTGGAAAGGTGAGAGCTGAGGGTGGGGATTGAGCTCCTCTCTGATTTTTATGGAGCCATGTCAGGGCCCTGCCACCTGTTCATGGCTGCTTATGAAAATAGGGTGGGCTGGGAGTGAGGTTTTATGGGTTCGAGTTGGCATAGGGCAGTTTTGAAGGTCTGTCTCAGCAGCTTCTGTGATAACAGGTAAATAGAGGATTCAGAATAGACACAGCATGAGAAAAAGGATGGAAGCTAGTTGAATGATCTGGGTGTTTTGCATGAGTTAATCCACGCCACCTGAAAGAAATCCCCCAACAAGAGTCTCAGGTGCTGTAACCTGTGTCCGCTGTGGCAGAGACGATTCTAGCTGCTGATCATCTGTATCGACGGAGCAGTGGGGAAATGTAATTCAGGGTCTCTGCTGTTACCCAGCTCTGTGCCTGTGTGCAGTCGTATTGATCTGCAGCCACCATGACCAGAAGCCTGGTGGAAACACCTCCTGTTGTCAACCATGGTTGCACAACATGAACAATAGATTGACTCTGTCGCCTCCATTGGAGAGCAGGGAGCAGAAGCTTTTAAAGGGTAAATCCTCATTAAATTTAACTGGGCAGAAAGCCGCTGCTCCGCTTTTCAAGTAAATATCCATCCAAGAGCTTGCTTCCTGCTGTTCCTCCTGTGTATATGAGAATAAAATACACCCAAAAATTACTTGTTTGCATCAACCCAAAACAAACATCTGGGAGTCAACATAGAAAAGACTTATTTTTTTAGCAGTCTGTCTTTCATGCATACCTAATCTGTGTTTCTTTCCTCTTGCAGGTTCTTGGCAGAGAAGTCTACACATCAAACAACCAACTGGGTGGAGTTCAAATCATGCACAACAACGGGGTGACCCACAACACTGTTTGTGATGACTTTGAGGGAGTCTTCACGCTGCTACAGTGGCTCTCTTACATGCCCATGGTAAAGTTTAACTGTTGTTTTTGTTGCAATTGAAACCAGTGGTTAAGCTATTGAAAATGTGGAGGTCTTTTCATATTCAAATAAAGATATTTTCCACCTTCAGTGTAAAGCCAGTCCAGTACCCATCCTGGATGCCAAGGACCCCATCGACCGGCCGATTGAGTTTGTGCCCACAAAGGCTCCTTATGACCCCCGCTGGATGTTAGCAGGACGACCCAGCCAGAGTGAGTGTCCAATCCAGACTAATATTTCACACAAACTTTTTTAATTAATGACAACTAAGGGTGTTTTACAATCATAATTTAGTGCCAAGTGGGTAGAGAGCAGTGATGTTGATTGTGACTGAGAGAAAATAGAGGGAGATTATTTACTTAGAAACAACCATCTACATGTGTTATTCTCCTTTCAATTAGATTTACATTGGAGTTTGGTGAAAGCAGACCTTGTTTTTGCACTGCTTGATCAGAGTTTGAACAATGACTGGTTTTACCCTGTTAACCTAAATACAGGACATTTCTTTAACAAAATAAGACTAAAAAAATTCAATTTTAAAATAGACTAAAAACATACTTTATTTAAAAGGTATTAAAGTGTGTTGTATTGAGTGTGTCTGTTTTATTTTTACCGTCCTCCATCTCCTCACCTGTCATTCCTTCTTTGTTACGGACTGGGTGGGGTGGAGTCACATCTCCCACGCATCGTCTTAAAGGGACATGAGACCATAGCCTACCTACACACATCCCAAACATACTTTTCTTTATTTATTTATTTTTTTTGACACTGAATATATAAACAATGACGTGGGTTACTGTCATAAATTTCAGTACTGGTAAATTTTCAGTTTATCGCCCAGCCCTACCTTTGAAATTTTATTTTCACATTCTCTGATTTTCTCTAAAAAAAACACAATTTCAAGGCACCCATTTACTAAATAATTTTTTTTCCTCTTATCACAGATTTAGTGCTTTACATCACTGCGTATTACTACTCTAGTGAATCAATAGAGACATTCAGCACTACTTGCAGTCCAACATGACTTTGTTTTCTAAAAATGGACAACAGAAACGGCTTCATCAAACACTGAGTTTCTAAAATGTTGTTTTGTGCCACTATCCTGGTCATACCAAAAAGAGTGATTTCAACACTTTGCTTTTTTCTTCTATATATGATTTTAATCCAATGCTTTCTTAACGCTTGGAATATTACGATAATCAATACTCAATGCTATTACAATACAAGACTACAATTCTTCTATAAATAGTAAATGACTTTTTGAGACATGAAAAATGAGACTACAGACAATTAAATTTACCTTCAGGGATAAATAAAGTTCTTCTTCTTATTATTACTATTATTTTGTTTTTTATTTAACTTGTTCCAAAACAAAAGTAAACATCATTTCAGTTTGATATCCCTGTCCTTCATGTTGCAATAGTTTAGTACTAGAAAGACACTATTGAGAAGCAAAGAGAGAAACAGTGATATTTAACTTCATTCTGCTGAAGGGAAGATCAAGTTGACTCCATAATGGACCTGGAATGTTTTACACTGTGGGTCAGGACTGAGCAGGTTCTTCATCAGTGTAATTACAGCCTGGAACAGCAGAGATTGGGGGGACTGAGCCACTCAACTGTCTCTGCTCGTGATGAGTGGTGAGGTTTAATTGAATGGTAACCTCACAGACTGGGCATGTTTCTCGGGGTGTGCAAGCAGATAAAGAGCTGAGTAAGCCCTGCTTATACAGTCATCCATCATGGCTGCTGCCAAGGAAAAAAATACAAAACTTCAGGCTGCGGTATAAAGCCAGGGTTGTTGGACTGCTTGGAAAAGACAGAATATTTTCAGGAAACAGACTGAGTTGCGGTTCCAGTTTGCAGTAATTAACTTCTTTTTACTCCTCATCTGTAGCTCCAAAGGGATCCTGGCAGAGCGGCTTCTTTGACAACGGCTCCTTCATGGAGATCATGCAGCCGTGGGCTCAGAGTGTGGTGGTAGGCAGAGCCAGGTAAGAATCCCTGATGACACACCGCTATAATGGATTTCCTCGCTCCATAAATGCGGTCGAGGTATTTTTTTTAGATGGCAGCGCTGAATTGCCTCTCTCCACAGGCTGGGTGGGATTCCTACAGGGGTTGTTGCTGTGGAAACCAGGTCAGTGGAGCTGTCAATCCCAGCTGATCCTGCCAATTTGGACTCGGAGGCAAAGGTAAAGGCTGGCTTAGTGCATAACCTAGAGCTGGGCGATATGGCCTCAAATCATTATCACGATATATTGAGTGAATATATCGACATGGGCAAAATGACGTCGGTTACTTTTCGGTAAATCGGTAAGTTTTCGATGTATCGCCCAGCCCTAGAATAACCCCAGTGTGAACTGTTATCTGAGTATTTGGCAAATACACACTCTGATGCTGATTCTTCCTGTTTGTATCTTAAGATCATCCAGCAGGCCGGACAGGTGTGGTTCCCTGATTCTGCCTTTAAAACAGCCCAGGCCATTAAGGACATGAACAGAGAGGGCCTGCCTCTCATAGTGTTCGCTAACTGGAGAGGCTTCTCTGGAGGAATGAAAGGTATGTCTGCTACTTTTCTTATCCTTCCTTCCAAATAGCCAACACTAGATCGAGCGCTCATACGTAGTCTGAGATTTTGATATAAGCTAAGAACAAGCAACAGGTAAGAAAACCCTCCAGGTGCATTCGAGTTTTTTTTTTTTCAAACATCTTCTTTATTTCATACTGATATAACAACCAAAACAATTTGTCTGCTTTTTTTTTTTCTTTTAACCACATAATTCCCTACCCTCCCCATCACTCCCCAGGAACACAGAACAGAAAGGAAAAGAAAAAATCAAAATAAAATAAAACAAAATAAACATGTCTATATACCAACAAATAAAGAGCACAGAATCAGACAAGCACATTACAAAGAAACAAAACAAGAAAAGCAAGTAAACAAACAAATAAACAAAAAAGAAAAAGGTAGCAACAATAACTTTAATGAACTCTATCCAAATGTGCATACATATAGGCCACACATGTGAACATATCCATATACATACTCATACAAATGCATACCTACTAAACCACAAATAGTTATCGGTCCCTCCCAAAGAAATTCTCCAATTCTGAAAACAATGGAGTCCAAAAATCTTGATAGATATGAACACAATTTTATTTTCCTAGGGTTAATTTTTCCAGTGGTAAGAACGCTGACATCTGATCCATGAAGAGCTTTAAAGTTGGCAGGAAATCATCTCAAGTAAAAGTACACATTTCTTAGCAAAATATGTGGAGAGCAAAATAGTATCAGTATTTTTTAATTAATTTATTATTTTATTTTTTTTAGGTTTTGACCTGATTTGACCTGTTTTTCCTTTTATAAGGCATTTTATAAAGTAATACAACATGAACATGGGGTGTTTTCTGCCACAATATTACAGCAATGTGATTAAGTAATCAAATCACTTCACAGCGTTTCAGTGAATAGTATCAGTATCATACGGTTCCTCATGTAACTCTTCTGTCTTAGATATGTACGACCAGGTGTTGAAGTTCGGGGCCTACATTGTGGATGGGCTGAGGGAGTACAAGCAGCCTGTTTTGGTTTATATACCACCCCAAGCTGAGCTGAGAGGAGGATCCTGGGTGGTCATAGATCCCACCATCAACCCTCGTCACATGGAGATGTATGCAGACAGGGACAGCCGGTGAGTTGGACTGTTAAATACTATAAAAGGACATTTTCATCACAGCGCCTCTGTTCACTTCAATCCTTTTGGTCCCTAGAGGTGGTGTGCTGGAGCCAGAGGGAACAGTGGAGATCAAGTTTAGGAAGAAGGACCTCGTAAAGACCATGAGGAGAGTAGATCCAGTCTACTCAGGCTTGGCTGAGAGATTGGGTGAGCCCTCCACTTCACTTCTAATTATAGCCCCTTTTTTCAGGTGTCTTTCTCCCCCCTCGGCGTTGTCCTCATTTCGAGGAGCGATACATCAGGTGGGAGAGCGCGTGTGTTTTGGCTGTCGTTCTTTACTCGCTGTTGATCGTATCATCTTCTGTGCTTCTCCCTGGGGAGACGTGTCAATCACAGCCTGCTCAGATCAATCAGCAGCCCTCCTGTCTCACTCTGCACAGGGTATTGATTTTCCCCCAGGCTCAGTGAAACGGTGGTCCTGTGCTGATGCTGTGTGTGCTTGAGGCGTTGGGTGGACTGGAGGAATGGGGAGGGGGTTACTGGAGAGGCTTTGAGAGGTTACAGATTGGAATTGACAGAAATCGGTATATGGTGACAGCCACCAGGGGTTTGGGGGAGCTTTAAGACAAAATGCTGTTGGCAGGAGTTAATTCACAGCTGCACACTCATGTAGAACTAGACTCTGAAGTCAATGCTGCTTTTAGAGAGGGATAGAATTTTGGCTTTTACACAACAGTGAAGCCAAAACAACCCTACGCATGGGCACAGATGTTGTGCTTGTTATGTTTGGAGCAAACCTGCACAGTTAAGATCAGCCAATGAAGTGGCAGTATTGATGTCCCAGCCCCCTTACACTTACCAAATAAAGACCCCTCAGTATGTAAGCGATTCAGAAGTGTTGATTTACAGCTTTTTGTTTTGTTTCCTCTCACTCTTCCTCCTCCGCTTTGCTAACCTGGTGCACATAGCCCTGTAGACACCATGTCAGTCAGTTATGGCTACATACACTTTCTTAAAGCATCACATTAACGTCTCATAAAGAACCAACTATGATGACAAAAATAATGTCCAAAAAAAAAGGAAATGCATGTGTAGATTGATTGTTAAGGATTAGGAACACAAGAAAAGAAAAAACAATTACAGGAGGGAGATTTTTTTTATTTTCTGTTTCGAGATTTAAGTTGGAATTTCGAGAATAAAGTCGAAATTTTAAAAAGTCAAAATTTCGAATTCATTCATGTTGACTTAAATCTCGAAATTTTGACTTTTATCTTGAAATTTGAATTTGTAATCTGGAAATTATAACCTTAATCTCGAAATTTTGACTTTAATCTCCTTCCTGTAATATATTTTTTCCCCCTTTATGTGGCCCTAACCATCTTTCGCATTTTTCCCCATATTCCATCGGTTTACATGGAGAAGTTTTATTTTTATCTGTAGTGCAACCAACCAGCAGGGGGAGCTCCAAATGATTTGGCTTCACTTTCAAAGAGCCTTCATGTCAACCATATTTTTACACAGCCTGTGATTTAACGATGCACTTTTTCACTTTGAAACACCAACAGGAACCCCAGAGCTGAGTCCCCCTGAACGCAAAGAGCTGGAGACCAAGCTGAAGGAGCGTGAGGAGTTCCTCCTGCCCATATACCACCAGGTTGCTGTGCAGTTCGCAGACCTCCATGACACCCCGGGTCGCATGCAAGAGAAGGGCGTAATAACGGTGAGCACCTTTTTTTCCCCTCATGCTGCCCAAGGGGGAGAATCGGTCTAACTGCTTCAGCACCTGTCTAGTGAATAATGTTTGGTCTCACCAGGCTGTGACACTCGTCCTCATAATTATCTTCTGATGACCCCAGTCAATCACCTTAGAAACCGTGGTGAAGCCTCAGGCTGCACCATCTCAATCTGTGCCTGCCCACCTCCATCTTTCACATCCAAGCTTCCAGACTCTGCTCACATGACCAGAGGGGCTCTCACAGATGGAAGGCAGTCAGGGTCATTTGTACACACAGTATGAGCTGGACCGTGCTGGTCAGGAGGCCCAACTCAAAGTACTCAAGCGGAGAAATATGTAAAAAAAAAAGACAAAATCTTTCAGAATGAACACTTGATTTCTGACTAATTTCTGAAACAAAAAAAATTCTGATGTGTTACATTTGTCTCAAAACATCTGTAACAAAATGATTCGACTGCCACGTGAACTTCTCATATTGATCATTCCATATCTTTGCATACTGCATACTTAATATCTGACCTGTAGGTTCTTAATGGCATGAGTAAAACATAAACACAACACAAGGATAACAAAACAATGATCAAATTAAGAGAGTTCATCAATTCAAACACATTCGTTTGCTCTAGTATTTCCAAAAACACAAAGTCTCTCTGTACAAACCTTTGTCAGATCTAGACAGCCTGCCACCCTGTCCTGTTTCCTTAAGAAGCTCTGCCTCTGTGTAAATTTCATGAGTACCCTTGTGTGCAGGACTTAACATCTTTCTTTCTATATCATCATATAGTTCATTCTGTGACTCTTTGCGTTATATCTACCTCAGGATATTCTCGAATGGCAAACCTGCCGTCACTTCTTCTATTGGCGTCTGCGACGTCTGCTGCTGGAGGAGACGGTGAAGAGGAAGATCCAAGCAGCCAACGGTGAGCTGACAGATGGACAGATTCAGGCGATGCTGCGACGCTGGTTTGTGGAGGCCGAGGGGGCCGTCAAGGTAAACGCCACAAATCAGAACTTCACTAGAGGCTTCGTTCGATGAATCACTCTATGTGCAAATCAAAATAAACTGTAGTTCGCTCTAAACTATATGTTCATATTATACTTCAAGAGCAAAAATGATGCTACTTTCTGATTAACCTCATTTCAGACAAGACTATGACATACAAATGTTGGCAAATTGTAATAATGTTTTATTATTAGTATTAACCATATACATTCAAACAGTAAAAAACATACAAATACTCTGTATTGAATTTAGAGTGTTTGAATTTGAATGTGGGCTGAGAGTTTAGAGAAAACTGTGCAATCTTTAGTGTTTCCAGATGTTTTGTTTTATCTTCATCAGAGGCCACATGCCTTTTTTACAAAGGTTTACTTTTCTAACCACAGTCATCATTTGCAGTCTCCTGCGGTGAATGATTGAGTCTCGGACAGGTTTTTTTCAGTGTGAGATTTCTCCTCATAAACTAAAGTCTAAGATAAATTTATCTAAAGTGTAGTTGCCAAAGTAAATATCTTCTTTCTCCCTCTGTGAATGATTGCAGAGGTTGTGTCGTTTTATCCTGAAACACGCTCTTTTCCTCCACAATGTGCTTCAGATAAAGAAGTGTAAGCATTCCTATTAAATCACTGTGATTAAATGCAGATGGACTGATAACTGGAGAATAAACATCCATGAGAGAGAGATACATAAACACTCTTCCTTCAGGCTCAGTCTCAGGCTCAGAGGACCCGCTGCAGGGCTTGACAGGAGCCGGCCCAGAGTTTGAGATCTCCTGAAGAAGAAGTGGCCTTCTTGTTAGCTAATATATTACCCCAATCAGGAGCGACCGTCTTAAGCCACAATTAATCACAGCCCTGGCACGTGCAGATAGGAGAGCAACACGCTGTTTCTTAATTAAAAGCAAACAGATTAAAAATGATTAATAAGGGCATTAAATGTTCTCGTGGACCTCAAGCAGGACTGTTCATAAAAAAGGCAAGAGCCCATTATACCCCTCAGCCCCCAAATCTTTGCTAAGCCCTCCAGCCACGCTTTGTTTGGGATCAGAGATGCCAGCACTCATGAATACTAATTTCACTATCAGGTCCAGTCTACAAGCCACGAGGCCTCCACTTCATGCATGTCTGTCCTTTTAGTCATTGTTGATCTTTATTTGATGTTTTTTAATATTTTATATGACAATCATTTTATTCAGCACGTGAACTGTAGATGTTAGTGGCACAAGGGTGGGAATGATTTATCTTTGAGGTGATGGGAAAATATTAAAACAGTAAATTTTTAAAGAAGCAACAGGCCAGTTTAACCCTTTGATTGTTTATATATGTAGATTTTGTTGCTTTTCGTAATTTTATTAATGCTAGTTTTTATTTTGGTTTTAACTGTTGGTGTAACAATGGCTACATTTGAAATGTACTTATTGGCAGATAAAGCCTTCTCCACTGCTGCCTCCACCTTCTGGAATTCGCTCCCCAAACCCATCTGAGACTGTAAAGACCCCTACACTTTCAAATCACTCCTTTTTAAATTGGCTTTTAACCTGTGAACTGTTCTTTTCTTGTCTTTTCGTATCATGTCTTTTTTAACCTTTTAAATTGTTGGTCTTATTACTCCAAATTTTCTGTATTTTATATTGTGTTTCTCGTAAAGCGTCTTTAAGCACCTGTAAAAGCGTGTCATAAATAAAATTTATTAATGTTATTATTTATTATAGGTAATGAAATGAAATATCAGCAGATTATTCAGCCATCAAAATGACTTGGTGCCTTCCTTTTCTCTTAACTACATTTGTTTAAACTCATACTATTTCAAACTCATACTTTTTCACAAATATTATCTTAATTTTTTGTTATTTATCTTCTTCTTTTCAGGCCTATCTGTGGGATAACAATGAGGAGGTGGTTGGGTGGCTGGAAAGACAACTGGCTGAAGAAGAAGGTGCACGATCTGTCATCGATGAGAACATTAAGTACATCCGCCGAGATCATATTCTCAAGCAGATACGCAGGTGAGGAAAAATATAAACCACTGATTTAATACAGTAAAGAGTCCTTCAGTGACATAATGAACTTCTTGTTACATAACTGATGATTTTTTTTTTTCAGCCTTGTTCAAGCCAATCCAGAGGTGGCCATGGATTCAATCGTGCATATGACCCAGCACATCTCACCCACACAGAGAACAGAGGTGGTGCGCATCCTGTCCACCATGGAGACGTCCACCTCCTCCTAGAAAGGGAGGAGGGAGCCAGGCCTCTCCTCCCTTTCTCTGGAGCTCAGCTCAGGCAGAAACCTGAACCAAAGGAGCCTGTCTCAGCAGCAGGACTCAGGACTGAGACCTGGGCTTGAGACTGAGGCCGGAGGAGCCAACATGAGGGGTCTTGGCAGCTGCCAGGTTACTAATGAATGGTTGGCAATGATTCAAAACTTCAGTTGACTGACAGTAATATTACATTGTGAATTGATTTACGCTTATTCCTTAGATTAATCCATGTGTTTTGTATTCAAGTGCAATTGAAAATAACTAAAGAAATTCTGCTGACTAATATGTTTGGAGATTAGACAGTTGAAGCTTCACGATAATCAGTGCGCTCTCTAGAGCCGCACTTTAAATTCAGACTTCTGTTGTCGTTAAAACACACCTTGGTTTGTGACATATGCTTGTTGAGATTTGCAAGTATTTTGATGACCAACCTGACAATGACAACATGCTGCTGGGGGGGCAACAGCAAGAAGAGGGGGTGTTACACTTCTGCGCAGGGAGCACTTAGTTACTGAACAAAGACGGCGAGAACACTACAACAGATCCGGTCATTTGAGCCCAGCAGGGAGCGGGGGACGAGGTCTCTTTTAGACCCTGACTATTTCACAGTTTCCCCCCGCAGTGAGCGACAGGCGGCTCCCCTCACAACAAAACCACAGCTGTCCCTTCTGTTCTCCCTCGCACATCGTTCACACACATGCTGCTTTAGACGCACTTTACTGCTGCACCCATAATCAAAGGTGCACAGTTGGAACTGTTGCATCTACTGTACAACCATACACACGAGTACGCGCACAAAACAGTACAAGCAGTAACACACACAGAGGTGGAGATAACTGAAATAATAACAGTTGCTTATGGTACTAGACAGAGTGGATGAAAATGTACTAGTTTAGAAAAACCTTCCTTTTCCTTTGGTTACTTGTTTTGACACCTGTGTTACCTCCTAAAAAAACATCCATCAAAAACGTAAGGTTTTTTATTTATTTTTTAACAAAAGAAATATTTTTGAATTTACATCAAATAGCTGGCTCAATCATTTAATGTCTAATAATGATAAGGAAAGAACTAAGGCGACTGTTCACTGGACTTACATGTTACATGTCAGATATGCTGTCTCATTTTAACTGTAATCCACACTAACTGTTATATTTAAAGTTTGTACTTGATATCTTTGAAATGTTACTTATTTTTATTTTTAATTGTTGACAGCAGTGTGTGACAGGCACATTTCTGGACTTGAGTTTGTTACCTGAAGACGGGCGAATTTGTTCCAACCGTGTGATAAAAGGATTTTCTTCTTCTACCTGATGAAACAGCACTGTAATGCTAATCCAGTCTTATAGATCATTGTGCGATATGTCCTGCTGTAAAAGCGTCGCTACCTTTGTGAAATGGCTTCATGGTTTGTGCTGTGCCTTTTATGTGCCTGTATGACAAGCAGTCCCGTTGCTTCATAAGTAACTGGAAGATTCCTCAACAAGGATGGAAAATAATTTACACTGATGAACTCTAAATGTGTCTGAAAATTAAATAAAGCTTTCCCAACTTAATTTGAGTGGAACTTTCTTTTTTGGCACCTCCTGTGGACTAAGCTCTCTTTACTGATTTTTACCCTGTGCATGATGTGTCAGTTGCTTTCTATGATTGTCTATGGACTGTCAACGTTAACCATAGAGGTAAATCGGTTACACTTTACTTGATGCCTGTCTCTATAACGCATTATAAATATGTATAATGCGTTATAATCACATTATAGCACTGTTTAAATATAGTTATAAACACTCATAAATGATCATAATTCTTTAGAGCAATAATCATAACACATTATAAAGCATTTTATCATGACTTACAAGGTCAGGTGTTATTATGTAGCCTTATGATAATTAATGAGTGTTTATAAGGATAGTTACACAAGTTTATAAACAAATTATAACACATCTCAATTATATTGCATATATACAGTATATATGCATATATATCTATGTGGGCATTGTCAGTGAGTTTTTAACCGTCATAACACATTATAATACCTGACCTTGTAAGTCATAATAACACGCCTTATAATATGTTATGATTATTGCTATAAAGCATTATGATCATTTATGAGTGTTTATAACTATAGTTATACAGTGCTATAATGTGGTTATAATGCATTATACATATTTTCATAATGCGTTATAGAGATAGGCATCAGGTAAAGTGTTACCGGAGAATCTTTGCTGAGGAAGATGTTGTCAACAGTGTCTAGTTAACTGATCACTTGGTCTAACACCTTTTCCAGCTGATTGTTACAGACATTCAAAATAACTACTGCAAAATTCGGCAAATAAGACATAATGGTTAAAATGTGCCGACCTGTCATCACTCCCAATCTTCATTTGTACAGCCCCACAATAAATATGAGTTAAAATGCTTTATAAAAAGAGGTTAAGACTGCACTTTAACTAGTTAATAAGACTCAACATCAAGATAAGATAGAGTCCCAGCTTGTAGATGAGACCCACTTAGGGCTGGGGGATATGGACTCAAATTAATATCACAATATATTGAGCAGTTCACCTCGATAGTGATAGATGGACGATAACTACTCTACAAGCTGCTCACTCACTCCCATATTAACTTCGTCTACTTCAGCTGTCGCTCCAGCCGCTAAAACTTTTGAATCTCCTCACCTGTCTTTCCCTCTGTGTCACGGACCCGATGGGGTCCCCATTTTCATGGGGATAAATTTTTTTGACACCAAATATATCGACATGGGAAAAATGACGTCAGTAATTGTCATAAATTTCTGTATCGGTAAATTTTCGGTTTATTTCCCAGCCCTAGCCCTACTCATACCTGACCTCAATCCGCCAAGAGTGGAGCAATTTCTGCAGCATTTAGCAGCAAGTTACAGTGTCAAGGCAAAACTTTCTTTTAACAGGCAGAAAACTTAAGCAGAACCAGGCTTATGTGAGACAGCCATCTGCCTTATTGAAGACAATTCGGTTTTTAGCTCTACCTCAGTGGCTTCTTTTTCAACATTAGACACTGCCGCTTGCAAAAGATTGATCAGTCTAGCAGCTTCACTTTTACACTTATTTACACAGGATGTCATGGATGGTCACTCTTCTTACTACTGGCTCTCTTTGCTTTTATATAGGTCATTGACAGTCATCAATTTTAGTTTCCGTCTGTCTCACATCCAGCTGAAAACTCATCGTAAAAGCTTTAAACTTTCTATTTTTATTGCACATAAAAAATGTATTGAGGGATTTCACAAGACTCAAGTTTCGATGAATTTGCATTAATTTAATTTGCCAATTATTTTTATATACTGATGATCCTCTTGGCAGATAACAACATGACTGGAAGCCTCATTAATCTCAGCAGTCAGAACAAAGTGAATTCCTCTGGAGAGACATTTTCTGATTACTAGAAAATGATCGTCTTCCTATTCCTCAATCCACAGATGATTAAAACAGCGTCTTCTTCTTGGCTTTTAAACTTCAACAGTATTAAGGGGGATGAAACAGATCAAACAAATATTAAGGGATCTATCTTATCCTTTTTTTTTTTGTCTCTGCCTTTCTTATTATCCCCTTGGCTCTGTCAACTCTTACCGTCCCACCAACAAATATGTAAGACAAATTGAGTTGCATGCACCCAATACCCACCACAATTATAGGAGGCCCAATAAGAAAATGAGTCATTTGGTGGTATAATTGGAAATGTGCCTTGCTCGGTCTCCAGTCTCCCAAAGGGTTTTGCTCATTTGTGGTGACATGCTAGGCCGGCTAATTCTTCTAATCACCCACAAAGTGCAGAATCAGCTTCTTTGCAAGCACTGAAGCAAAGGAAACAGAAGTGTTTGGTGAAACTTGTGAAAACTATGCTTTCTCTTTTTGTTTTTGGTTTGATCGAGTCGATTAATTCTAAATAATTTAAGTTTTGAAAAGGATTTTTGGTCCAAATAAAAGTCAATTTTTTGGTGAAATAAAGGAAGCAAGCTGATGCTTTAAGAAAGCAGACTGATTGCTGACATGCTGACAAAAAGAGAGCAAGAGAGAAAAAAAAACAGCGAGCAATATTAATGGAAAAAAGAAGAAAATCAGCGTCTTCAGTGAGATTGAAATGGAGGCATTATGATAGCGCAGAGGGGAGACTCAATCATGCATCTGAGGCAGCCATAATTCCACATCCATGCGTCTCAATGACTTGACAGCACTTGAGAGACAATGGCTGTGACCCAGTTGCAGGATTCCAATTAGCGGGGTGTATGCAACAGTTGAGATGAAAAGGGAGCAGGGTCTTTACAGAGCCTGGGGGCTGTCTGATTACTGCCTGAAAACAGGACTCTTCTGCCCGTGACAAAGAGTACAGCGACGGAGAGGGAGCGAGTGCCGGGCCCCAGCTGTTCTCCATCTCTCCAGGCGGAGGAGTCTAAAGAGCTCATCTCACTTCTGTCTGCCTTTTTACATTTCTACCCTATTAGAAAGTGTAAAGCAAGGCCACTCACACCACGATACTTCCAGATGTGTGTCATGAGTCGAGTTATTGGATGGAAGGTTTTTACTGAGACAGATGACCTCTGGGTCACAAGATTGTATATGTCCCTGCAAGACAGTAATAGGGTGACCATACGTCCTCTTTTACCCGGACATGTCCTCTTTTGGGGGGCTGTCCAGCCTGTCTGAAGGGAGTTAATGAAGTCCTTCAAATGTCAGGGGTTTTGTGTGGAAGCCCTTTTCCACCAGTGAAAAAAAAAGATGTGAGATATATGAATGTTTATTAAAATGATATTTTGTGAGTATTTTTTCAGTATCTCCAAGAGGCCTGGTTAAGTGTCTTTTTGGGGATTCAGAATGTGCGTTTAACTGAGTTAAAAGCATGTAAAAAACACTCAACCCGACCCGAAAAACCCTCAAAATTTTGCACGCACGTGCACAACTTCACCCAACGTAGTAGTGTCCTCTTTTTGGGGATTC